AAAGGCCAGGTCGTCGTACGCATCTTGCCGTTTGATGGCCTCCCGAGAGGCGACGCGCGCGCCGTATAGCGTGGGCACGGACTTCCCGTAGAGCACGGCGAACGGCGGATACCGGTTGTTCGCTTGATGCGCGGCATCAAAGACCAACTCTTCCTTGAAGCGTCGCACTTCGGCGAGAGTGCGCTCGAGGTAGGTGATAGCGGTGGCCCGCGGGATGGTCACGGCTGTGGTGACCTTGGTGTTGCTCGAACCGCGGAGGTTGGAGTTGGGGCCAATGGCCCCTTCGACGGCGGGAGGCGCCACGGGGGCGGGTTTCATCGCCGCCGCGGTCGGTGGGTTGGCACTCTGGTTAGGTGCTGGCTTGTAAGAGTTGGATGCTTCGCCGCCGTCAGATGAGGAAGCTGATCCACTGCTCGGGAGGCTTTCTTTGCTGTTGAGCACGGTCGACAGACGCTTGCTGATAAGGGGGAGGTTGTCCTTCACGAAGCCCCGGCTGGGGCTGCTCACCGGCAGGGCCGGGTTGATGCACGGTGAGAGACGATACTCGTCCCAGGTCTGCGCGTCGAAGAAGTCGACCCGGTATTCTTCTTTGGTGCGCTGGTCGATGAAGCAGTGCCCGTCTTCGGGCAACAGGGCAAAACTGGTGCGGAAGGTGAAGTTGACCTGAGCCGTCAAGACACGCGAACTCAGCAGCACATCGTCGCCGTTGCGCAACGGCCCGAGGATGTTGACACAGTGCTGCGGAACTCCAGCGTATAAGACCCCAGCGAACAATTCGGGTCGCTGGTTGACGGCATGTCTTGTGATCAGCCCCCCCAGGCTGTGAGCGATCACGTATGCCCCGCGCTTTTCACGGGGCGTGCCTGGGGCATTGCTTGGAAGGCCCTCCAGAAACTTGATCAACCGTTTGGCCAGAAGATGCGGACTCAGACGCCAGTCGTAGCCGTAGTCCCAGACGCGCAGATCCCCGCGCGTCGAGTTGGAGCACTTCTGCAGCCGCTTCATCAGACGGCGACAGATGTCCACGGGCCCGACATGCGACAAGACCCCGGACGGAATGATGGTCTCCTCCATCCGTTCCTCGTCTTCCGGGTTCAGACCCACCTCGAGGTCGACTTTGCGCAGGTTCAGGCCGACCTTCATCGGTACCCACAATTGGCGCTGCGGGGGTTTGGCAGAACGCAACACAGAGCCCCGATAGCCTCCGAGAATCACGACATCACCCGTCAGATCATCCATAGCGTCGGCTAGGCGAGGGTGCTGGGCGCTGGAGCTGGATCGCGGGGAACGGGTACGTGGTGGTGGTGGCAGCGACGAGGGTCCCGTCGGGTCAGCTGGCGGTTGTTCATGCGGCGCAATCGGGTCTTCCTCGTGGACCTTTCGGGGATGCGAGACCTCGGAAAGGAAAGGCCGATAGCCCCAGTCGCTGCGGAGATCTTGCAGGTGCAAGGTGGGCATGCTTAGAAGACGACTGCTGGAGTCCTGCAGACTGTCCTTGATGGCCTTGAAGCGGCTGTTCACCTGGGAATGGATATGCTCATAACGAGGACGCTGCTCGAGCGAGGAGGCTGTGGAGGAACGTCGTAGATAGAGCGACTGATCTGAGGATGAGCGCCGCAACATCGGCGGCGCTTTGCCCGAGACGGCGGCACTCGGCCGCCGTGCATACGAATGGCGGGCGGCGGTGGCACCCGCCAAAGGCTTGAGATCGGAGATGGGCTCGTCCGTAGACTCGTCGGTCAAGGATCGTCTCTGCGCGGCTCCCGGACCGGGCTTGACGGTGCGTGGAGATGGCTGGCTGGCGATGCGTTTCGTCCACGAGTCCGGTAGGAACTTCTTCAGACGAAGGTTGGTGATGGAGTCGCCGGACCAGGCCCTAGGGCGCAGCGGCAGACTGGACTTGAGGAGGGAGCGCGTAAAGCTGCTCCGATGGTCTTTCAGCTTCTCCTTGGCACCGCGCGAGGGATGCGGTTGCGCAGGGGGTGGTTGCGAGGACTGGAATTGTTCGGGTTCTTGGGTGAGATGGCTAGCAAAGAGACCACTGTCGGATTCGGGAGAGTCGGGAATGGCATCAAAGTATCCGCCATGCTGGTCCATCGCGCGGGATTTCTCGGCAGCTGGCGTGCGACGAGCCTTCATGCGACTCTGAGTTCGACTAATGCTAACCCCGACCATGTCGTATGCTTCGTCTTCCCGGGTGGGGTCGCGAAGAGATGGGTCTTCGCTATCGGAGCTGGTATGACCACCAGCCGATTGCATGTGCACCGCCATAGTGATGTTGGATGCTATGAGGTTGTTGAAGGAAAGAATTCACCCATTGAGGGGCGGGCACCAATAGATAAGAAGGGAATCGGAGACGCAGCGACGCAATAGCTTGAACGGATCCAGGCAAGACAACAGAGGCTCCATGTGAAAGTGGATGATGATGATGGGGGGGAGGGGGCGCGGGCGAGGAGGAAAAGGTGAAGCTAAAGTAGAACTACGGAGCCGTCGGAGGTGGAGCCATCGCTAGTTTATTGATTAACGATAGAGGGATAGAATCAATAAGAAGCAGCAAGGAGAGGAACGGAGGAGTACAAGTAACTGAGATCGGAAGATAGGGGGGCGAATCTGAATTGGAGGAGAAAATAACCTAGCAGATCGGAAGATGATGTAAAGCGAAGAAAAAAGAGAGAAAAAAGCAAAATAAGAACGAGTACGAGTAGCTGGAAAGAAAAAAAAAAAAGAAAAAAGAAAAACGGTGAAAAGGTGAAAAGCGAGAGAGAGAGAGAGAGAAGAGAGAACAGGAAGAAAAGAAAGAAAACGGTTCCACCGGCACAGCCCCGGGAGGGCCGGAAGGCTGAGAAACCACTCAGTCGACAGTGGATCAGGGCGAAGCTTTCTCCTCCCCGTCATCTGAAAGATCGTCTGGTAAGACATCTTAGAGCACATGCTACGTATTAATAGCAATGGTAAACTGGCGAAGGATTCAACTCAGCCGAGTTGGATGCTGTATAAGGGAAAGTTGAGTCGGCGAAGCTACAAGCTGAAACAGACATGCTCGTGCGCCAAGAGACCATGGACATTCTGCTCCATTTGCATACTTGCACAGTGCACATACTGGATACAAATATACATACTTAGTACTCAGTACAAGCAAAGTACCGTACATAGTTACTCATTACACCATCGCAATCGACAATCGACAATCGTTGGCTACAAACAGGCAGCCATCTGGCTGGATCCACTCTGTCGACTAATCAAAGAAAACAATCAAACAACAAGCATCAGCATCAGTCGTATCATCGTAATCGCATAAAAATCCCGAACGAGAAGCCCCGAACTAGAGACCAAGCTGTTTCAGTGCGAACGCCCAAACTGCCCAGTCTCGATCTCTCGCTCGCCCTTGTCCGCAATGGCTGCGTTCTTGGCCGCACCCTGATCGTGGCCAAAGGCTGAATCTACAGCTGCGGTGAGTCCACCGCGTAGCGATTCTCCGGCCCCCTGTGTTAATGGCCCCGTCAGCTTCTGCACAAGTACAGTACAAGGCTGCAACCAGTGGTAATCGAGATTAGTGACTTACGTGGATCCCCGCCGCTACCGATTTAACCCCGCGCCCGACATTCTCGCCCGTGCGCGCCGACTGACCGCCAGCTGTTGTTGTGCCGGTAGTGCCAGTAGTGCCAGTTGTGCCAGTAGTGCCAGTTGTGCCAGTAGTGCCAGTAGCAGGAACAGTGGTGGTAGTGTCAGCAGCGCCGGCGGTAGCGGTAGTACTAGGATTAGCACCGCCGGCCGCCCGCGTCCCCTGACTAGAGGAAGGCACCGTAGGCTGATAGCCTACTCCGCCCGCGGTGCCAGTGCCGGTGCCTGTCGTATCGGTCGGTTCGCGCATCGCACCTGAGCCCGACTGGTTTGTGGATTTGGTGGACATCTCCCCCGTGCGGCTGTTGACGCGAGGGTCCAGCTTATTCAGCAGCGAGGAGCTGTGCGGGCCCCGCGTCGAGGTGCCCGACGCCGAGGTGGTTGCGGTCCCCGCGGTGGCCTGCGGGTGCACGTTGCCCGTGGTGGTCGTGCCGGGAGCGTACTGGGCGCGGTTGTTCAGGTCACTGTCGACGCGTGGATCGGCCTTGTTGGCCATGTCGGAGCCATGCGGTCCAGCAGTGGTCGGGGCCGGGCCGGTCCTGGCATCGCCTGTGCTGGTGATCCCAGCTTGGGTAGCAGTGCCGGTGGCCGCGGCGTTGGTGTCGAAGTATGGGGTCTGCGAAGTAGTATTCATCGTGATTGTTTGTTTAACAAAAAAAAGTTCTGCCTGGTTCAAGCTTTGTTAATCCACTCCACCTGTCACTTTTCTGGAGGTTATATAGCCATCATCGAAGGCAAAATGAGCGACATCGACATCATCGTGCGAGCCGGTGACGTCAAATTGATCACAAAGTGTCGTCCCCTGGGGCAATTGTCCCCAAACCGTGGGGTGGGAGCGATGTGACCAGTCAGATAAAGGCCCTGTGCCGTGGCTTGGTGGATCGACAGTCCCTTCTTCATATGAAGGCACACGATGACCTAAAGTAGGCTTGCAGTGCTGCATCCATGATTCCAAGAGTGTTTAACATACAGTCCAGTCCAGTCTGGCCTGGAAGTAGCAGCCGATCAGGTGATCTGTCTTATCGATTAGAGGGATGATGATGTCATGTATGTACGGCATGGCGGGAAGATAAGTTATGCTGACTTATGCTGACTTAGTCATATCTACTTGATTATGCACCCCGCTTCTTCACGACTGCAATTCCATACTCTATACAAGCTAAAGCTCGTCTCCTCCTCGTATTCAGATACTGTCTTTCTCCATAAAGGATCCAAATTCTCGTTTTTTCCTAAAAAAAAAAAAAAAATTCTCAGCACTAATCCCCAGATGTCACCCTCCGCCTCGGCTGTGCGACCCTCTGGTCGGACATCTTACCTCAAAGAGCTTCTTCTCCACGAGCCGAGGTTCAATTCATTGGAATCCATTATCTGAGCCGACGACCCCTTCGACCTTCCCCCCCATCACCTCTGATTCCTTCCATCCATACCAACTCTGATAGATACCCACCGACCTATAACCAACCAAAAACCGCCCAGAATGCCTCTCACCAACCGCCAACTAATCTACACCAACCCGCCGAAGGCCGCCATCGACCCCTCGCTCAGCGGCAACGGCACCTTCACCCTGAAGACAGCGACCATCCCGGACGATGCACCCCTGAAGGACAACCAAGTGCTCGTGCGCATCCACTACCTGGCGCTGGAGCCCGCGATGCGCCAATGGCTGACGGCCAAACGGTCGTACATCGCGCCCGTGGAGGTCGGCAGCGTGATGCGGGGGCAGAGCATCGCCCAGATCCTGCGGGTCAGCGCAGCGCTGGCAGGCACCTACAAAGTCGGGGAGTGGGTGGCGGCGCACTCCGGGTGGCAGGAGTACGCGATCCTGCCCGCGAAGGCGATCGAGAAGATCACCATCCCGCCCGGGTGCCAGCCCACGGACGCGCTGTCTGTGCTGGGCATGACGGGGCTGACGGCGTACTTCGGCATGACCGAGGTCGGCCAGCCGCGACGGGGCGATACGGTCGTCGTGTCGGGTGCGGCGGGCGCCACGGGCATGGTCGCGGGTCAGATCGCGCGCATCCAGGGCGCGAAGCGCGTGGTCGGCATCGCCGGCAGCGCGGACAAGTGTCGGTTCCTGCGCGAGGAGCTGGGCTTCGATGCCGCCATCAACTACCGCGACGCGGACTGGCGCAAGCAGCTCAAGGAGGCTACCCCGGATTACATCGATGTGTACTATGACAATGTCGGCGGCGAGATCCTGGATGCGTGTCTATTCCGCGCGGCCAAGGGGGCGCGCTTTGTCATCTGCGGCGCCATTAGCCAGTATAATGTCGAGAAGCCCCAGGGGCCGAAGAATTATCTGATGGTCATTGTGAGTTTTTTTTTTTTTTCTTGGGGTTGTGTCGAGCAGTGCTGGTGGGTGGGCACGATTGGCGGCTGCTAACGAATACACAGTCGCAACGGATCACCATGCGTGGGTTCATTGTGTTTGACTATGCCGACAAGTACGAGGCTGCGCTGAGGGAGCTGGGCACGTGGTTGGGTCAGGGGAAGATCAAGCGGAAGGAGCACATTGTGAAGGGCGGGTTGGAGACAACGCCCCAGGAGTTGATCAATCTATTCAAGGGAGTGAATACGGGTAAGATGATGGTGGAGGTGGTGCCTGAGAGCGAGGCGATCAAGGCGGACAAGGCTAAGTTGTAAGCTGAGGAGTTGCATCACGGTGACTAGAAGCAGACATATCTAGAATATCACAGACAATATGATACCATTAGGGACTAGCTAGGGGTCAACCCCGGCGCCACGATACATTATCGACATAATACAACATTCTCATAAGAAGACATTAATCATATCCACACTCCACACAGCTGCAGTTAGACAGTACCCGCGGCCAAAACATAGCCTCCGTCCACGACCAGCGTCTGCCCGTTCAGATACTGGTTGGTGGCCGCGAACAACACGGCACTAGCCATATCCTCATCCTTACCGGGTCGTCCCGCGGGGACCTTACCCTCATACTTCTCCTTCTCGAGGGCACTCTTCTGCTTTTCATCACTCTCACCAGCGGTCATCTCGCTGGGGAACACGCCGGGGGCGATGTTGTTGACACGGATGCGCAGCCCGGAGCTGGAGATCTCATGCGCCAGCATCTTGGTCAGATGGATGGCGGCGCCCTTGGAAGCATTGTAGGCGAAGTGGTGCTGGCTGGTCTTGACGATGCCGGAGATGCTGGTGACGTTGATGACGGTGCTGCTCCAGCCGTGGGCCTGCTCGCTGCTCTTCTGCAGGAGGGGCAGGAAGGCCGCGGTGACCAGGTAGGGGTGCACGACGTTGGTGCGGTAGACGCTCTCCCACTCCTCGGGCGAGGAGCTCTCGTCAAACAGCGCCTTGCTCAGCTCCGCCGCGTTGTCGGGCTCCGTGTTCTGCGTGCTGCTGCTGATCCCCGCGTTGTTGATCAGGATGTCCAGCCGGCCGGACTCCCGTGACGAGATCTCCTGCACCAGCTTCTGGATGCTGGCCTTGTCCGTCACGTCCGCCGGCAGCGGGATGATCTCCCCCTTCGCCGACTGGCCGCCGTACAGCTCCGCCACCCGCTCCAGCTTCTCCGACGTCCGCCCCGTGATGTACACTTTGCTGCCGTTGGTGGCGAGCGCCTGTGTGGCCATCAGGCCGATGCCGCTGCCGCCGCCGGTGATGAGGGCCACTATTTGTAGGTGTGGTGTTAGTAGGTGTGGATTACAAGAAGAGGGGTGCAATGAGTGTGTGAAAGTATGACGCGGGAATTCGGAAGTGTGCTGGTACACTTGAGGTCAAAAGTCCAGGAAATATAAACGTACCCTTATCCTTGACATTGAACAGGCTCTCCAAGGTGAAGTTGGTGTTGCTGACTTCCGACGCCATTGTGGTTGTTGGTTTCCTGAATTGAGGTATCGTTGCTGCGAATAGTGTAGGTCGTGAGGTTGTGAAGGTTCTGGATGCAGTCTCACTGGCGGGAAGAGATAGCCGGCTATATAGCTGGCTTGGGCGATGGCGTAATGAAGCGCCGAGAGCGCGTGGCAACAGAATACTGCGGTTGAACATGATGGTAGTGCATGGAAGAATCGTTTGGCTGGCGTGATTGAGTGGGTTTATTGTAGGTGTTGTTGGGGCACCATCATCAGTATGACGTTTTCGGCGCCGGGGCGGATGAAGTCATGGTGATGGTGAGAAGTACATGGTACGAGTAGTATACGATCTGTTCACTAAACCGTCGGCCCCTGTTGATCTCTACGCATATTCAGGAACGGCACTCTATCTGTGATATTTACAGCTACCCAGCTAGTGATCCGGCCAGGAATGAAGAAAAATAGCCCAACAGAACAACAGTTCCTATGTATACACAGCGAGTTTGATTTACTACCCACTGAACTAAAGACAGACCAGTCCATCCTATTAACAGTTGCAGCCTATATGGTATCCACTGCAGCAGAATTATGTTCAAGAATAAGAAATGAGAAACGAATGGGAGAAATCACCGAACCTTCCCTGCTTCTCTCACCTCGCTCATAAATCCATCCTCGTCGCCTGCCGAGGAGAGTCGCCAGTAGTCACCAACCCCGGAAGATGCTAGACCTCCACCACCAAAACCTGCCGGCATAGGAGCTGCCGGTGCACTGTGGCGTTGCTCTGTGCTACTGTTGGTCCCCGCCTGACGCGGTCCCCAGCTCAGGATTCCCTGCACCGACTGTCGACTCTGGTCGTCGGGTTTGGTGAAGCCAAACAGCTGCAGCTGCAAGCTGCCCAGAGTCGCAACCGCCGCGCGAATCATGATCCGATCTCCTTCGAATACCCAGCAGTCCCAGACTCGGCTCAGACGCTCCAAGTCCAGTCCGTTGGTCAGGAGGGAGCGAAACATCGGTTCCCAGATTTCCTCATCACTGAGACGCAGTGTCTCGTAGAGGTGCGTCGAAAGGCGTGGGAACTTGTATTTAAGCGTCGCGGACGCTAGCGAATATGTCCGACCGATAGCCCCGCGGTCGAGTGTCAAAAAGGCAACAGGAAGGGGCCGGTTGAGCGCATTGGCCATAGCGAGGAACGCGGAGGATGGAGACGGGAACTGGAGAACCAGAAGGGCCGCAATGGTATGCAGGCCAGTGACGTATCCAACATCGCTCCGATACATTGAGTAAGCCTCCAATACATCAATCAACGTCTCGCGAAGTGGACCACCAGGTTGAAATAGTTTCAAGTCCGGGAAAGCCTTAGACACGTCCTGCTCGATAGTTGCGAACCACTCCCGCATTCGCTTGTTGCTTTCCCCGGTATCACTGTCAGGACGGGCACGCACGTCCTTGGCCCGTTGCAACGCCTTCTTGTACGTTTCGTCGGAGAGAGCCAGCTCGTTGCCAATGGCCCGCTGCCAGGTCGACCCTCGGAGTCGCGGCGGCACACCGCGCCACCAGAGCTCCCGCGTGCGCGGCTCCTGAATGACATTGTCCCAGTTTGGATAGACGTACTCGTCCCAGATTTGTTGGAGGGTTTCCCGAGTATTGTCCTTCTCGCATTTCTCGGAAGCGACTTTGGCAGCTCGACGCTTGTCTGTTTGAAAGGTTAGTGGCCTGTCGAAGCTAGCTTTAGACGCAAACTTACCAGCTTCCCGTGACTGCGCCATCATCCTCTTGTACTCCTTCAAATGCCGCTTTTCCTCCAAGGGATCCTTTGGCGGCAGCCAGCTTGGCCGTGTCCGACTTAGCACCTTTTCTTTCTCCTTGCTGATAGGCAATGGATCAATCATGATATTTGACTTCTGCAACGGTGGAAGCTCAATCGGGGTCTTCGAGCCCTGCTTGGAGTCCGTGCTAGACCTCAAAGAAGACAGCCCGCTCTGCAAAGTCTCTCCGCGCCGACGCTCTCGCTCGTCAGCATGAAACTCTAGCGCTTCGGTGATGATCCGCGCCTCTTCCGACAGGTCCGACATCATGTTGTTATACGAGTAGGTTCGGGGATTGCGAGGAGAAATCTGGCCTCGTTCCGGCCCCGCAGAGCTCGACCGTGGCTTGGAGCGAGCCTTTCGTGACGTAGGGGATCGAGAGCCCGAAGGGGACTTTGGAAGTGTCACGTCTGAGACGGAATGTGACAGTGGCAATGGCCGGGGTCCCGGGCTGCGGCCGTTGGGACTTGTACTCCGGGAAGGGGCTCGATCTTGCATCGGTCGGGGAGAGATGGGAACGTTCCAGAGACTGGCATCTTCGGGCAAATCATCATCAGAATCGTGGTATTCCTCTTCCAGATCCTTGAGCGTTCTGCGAGTGCGCTGCCAGGATGGCTTGCGGTTGAGTGTCCGGGGAGCAGCGGGGGCCAGAGACAAGCTGTGTGTGGAAGGTGAGGATCCTAAGCTCGAAGTGGGTCGCAAAGGCGAGTTCGATCGCGATCGACGGGGTTTCGACACTTGAAGCGGTGCATGCTTATTCGCAGTAGGATCCCGCTGGGTTCCGGTCTTGGTGTTGTGTCCGCCGCGGCCTGGCTGGATCAGGGTGCCGTTGGTCTGTCCCGTCAATTTACTCGGTTTCGTGGCGGTCAAATCGCGGGTTGTAACTACAGCTGACTTGGCCTGCATCCTGGCTGGGAAAGTCTGCGTGATAGTGCCCGCCCGACTAAAAGGGACCTTGTTGTCCATATAGGCGATATGCGCTTCGTCTTGGAGGTCGACTTCTTCGAAGTTGGCAATATCGGTGAAAAGAGCCTCGGGGCCGGAATGTTGGGAGGAAGAACGAAAGGAGGAAGACTTGGAGGATTTGGACCCGGTCAGATCGGGCGGAGAATTTGGAGTCGAGCAGATGGTCGTCATCGCGGACAGTGCTTCGATGTTCGGACGACACGCTCCAGCAGTGGGAAAAACGAACCCGATTATAGACTTCTGGGAAGACGAATGAGGTCGGTGTAAACAAAGAATTGACTGCGCCGGGTTCCGATCGCGCCGCGAGCGTTGACCCAACCAGAGCCAAAAGTGTTTAGATGATAATGCGTTCGACGTCGCAGGGTTGATCTGATATACAGGAAGAGTGAAGTCGAACGGCAGTCGCGCCCGTTGGACCAGGCTGTAATATTCCGGGGGTGGGTCAATTCAAGAAGAGCTGGACAGGGAGATCAGGCGTTAGTTGGCAAGAATGAGCGCATTGGGGGCCGCAACAGCAGGGGAGGGGAGGGAGGGATGAGAAAAGGAGACGGGAGAGGAACTAACCATCGACTGTAGGGAGATACCGAGAACGAAGGATCAGACAGGAGAGTGAGTATGTACTGTACGGAGGGTACTCAGTATTGTTTGTTCAACGATTGACTTGACAAGCGAAAGACAGGAATGCAGCGAAACGAAAGGAATAATAGATGGAAGGAAGAAAGAAAGACGAGAGGAAGAAAAGAAATAATGGAAATAGAGAGTTGGACAAAGCGGGAACAGAAGAAGGAGAAGGGGAAGGGAAGAGGAGAGGAGAAGGAAGAACGAATAAATGGAACTACACTAAAGTGACGGGGAAATGATGAACTTGCTGCATCCGGTGATGGAGAGTGGAGGAGAGGGAGGAGAACGGAGGGCGAGAGGGAGGGATTGGGAGAGGGAGAGTGGATGAGGTGGTAATACACATACGTAGGAAAGAGTACGTCAAGGTAACAGCTAGGCTGCTCCTCCCTACTCCTACTGCGCGAAGTTGCTCGGTAGAGCACTAAGGACCGTACCAAGTCGGTAAAATCCTGTACCAAATTGGTACTGCACCTCACCAGCGAGAGCCTCAGGCCATCGCAATCCCTCGAATTCCTCTTTATCTACGCCCCAGTGTGCCCCAGGAGGTAAGCCAGGCTGCTGCCATCTGCTAACTAAACTAACCACTAGACTATTAACTCCCTAGTTCACTTGTCGGCAGTGTCCACTGTCATTGTCGACGACGGTCTGGCCAATCCGCTAACACCGCACCAAATGAAGCCCTAGCGATACCATTTCCCACCTTAAAAGCTTCATTGGCTGGCTGCCGGTAAGATGAGTTCCAGGTAATGCCGCCCCTCTCTCTTTTTTTCTAGGATCTCTTTCAATCTCATTTTACCAGAAGATTACCGGCTCTCACGGTTAACTTACACTACCACTGATGAGTTGCCAGATACAGACTGGAAATGAGATTAGCTTTCCTGGAAGGACGACGAATTCAGTTGATCCAATGAAACTTAGTAGTTTCTGAATTCTGAACCATTGTAGGACCGGGCAGCGAGTGGTTCGACGTGAGGGCACCACCCACTACACCATGATGAGATGATCGAAACCGGCAGGAGGAGGTGAGGAACTCCCCCCGAGGCAAATCAGAGATGCAACGCACCGCCACAGCTGAGACGAGATCGACTGGAAAGATCGCTGCGCTGCGAGGAGGTGCGCTGCTACTCTACTCCGTACTCTCCAGACGAACTCGGGGAGGGTAACAATTGCGCAGTGCTCAGGGCTGCGACTCCAGATCGATCCTGAGAACCCTCGATCCAAAATTTGCCTCCCCCTTTCCTTTTTTTCTTTCCCTTCTTCTTTTCTTTTGTTTTGTTTTCTTCGCCTACGATAGACCGTAAAACCCATCCCTTCTGTTTTTTTTCTCTTCTTCTTGTACTTCACCCCTGACCCAGAGAATCCTCGTCCCTATGGTAGAGGTTCCGTGGGTTGTCGGCCTGAGGATTGAGGATTGCCAGGTACGTACCGGGCGTACCGGTGGTACGCATAGAACGAGCACCTTTCGGAGGTGGACCGCCACTGACCTCGGTGGAGGGGGGTTTGTGGTACTTCTCCGTACTGTACCTGAATTATCGAGAGGAATAATTCTCCACTCCCCAAAGCAAAAAGTAGCTCCGACCCGGCTTGGAGCCACAGCCCTAATCCGTCTTGGGCAGTCCACGCTTGCGGTAGTTAAGTTAGTCTAGTCAAACGAAAGCAAAACAAAAAATAATTGAAGATTGATTATTAACTAATGAAAATACTCGCACCACTACCCTCTACGGTTACATCCCACACCCACTCCTACAACCACAACCACACTAGAACAAGCGGCACTGTCATCTAGAAGAACAATCATGAACAACAATGCAACCTTATTGTGTCTTAGACTTCTGACTGAGTACGTACTCTGAGGTCAATCCTTGGCTGCGATCGGATCTGCTGGGGGGGTTACTCCCTATCTCCGTCCACGGACATCTCAGACATCCATGATCCATGAGATCTCACACACTCACGGACCGGTCGAGATTGCCGATCAACGGACCACTCTTTTCCTGTTGGCGGATGACCCGGATTTCCTGCTTCCGTCGCTGTAGTAATCTTGTCGTCACTAAGGGAGAGCCTTCCCCTCTGAACCGGTTCTCGCAAAACACGAACCACAATCCTCATGTTTATTACATCACATCATTGTTCTTAGTCTGATCCTGTTCACACAAACAACATCCCCGACTGGGATTGTCGATACTAGCCATTTCCAGTCCTTTTTTTCCCCTGATCCAACCAACCCACATCATTTCAGTACCCCGGGTACAAGCTAGACTAAGGCAAAGGTAAAAACCAGCCAAACGGTCGCTCAGCCAGAGCCGGTGCCAAGGAAACGCCTCCCGGGAGTCTATCAGAACTTCCACTTGTCATAGACGGCATTGCCGCGGCGCACCACTAGGGCCAGACGAGCAGCTGTGGCCGTGGATTTGGGATGGGTCTCGCGTAAAATTGCCTGCAGCCAGCGCAGGACAGCTACGTACCGCGTCTGCTTGCGGCCAAGAACGGCTTGGAAGGCTGCCGCAGCCAGATACTCGACCTCGGCCGGTTGCGCAGAACAGATCGCGGCCGAGTTGACCTTCTCTTGTCGACGGCTCGTAATCAACCGGTTGGCAAGATAGACAAGATCACGAATGATCCGGATTACGACCTCTGGTGCAGGATGTGCTTGTACGGACAGGGCGCGCGTGTACCGGTACAGCCGCATGCCCGAGATGACGAAGCTCGCATACAGATTAGCCAATGCGACTTCAACCGAGTTGTGGTGAGTATCAAGATACATCGGATGCATGAGCGCCTTGAAGGACGTTAGTAACTTGCGATGCAGCGAGCGGGCGGGGGTTCGCGTCGATTCCACGGTCAAGGAGTTGGCCAGGCTCGCCGCGACCGATTCGCCCCCGTCGAGGATCCGGTCGTGGTCTTTGTGCAGCTCTAGTGTGCGGGAGTCGATCAGGCTACCGCAGTAAGGGAACAACTTAGCGTCTACGATGCGGGGGATGTGCGCGCCATCCACTTGGACGGAGAAGTTGACCAGACTCTTGGCTGGGTTTACGGAGATCCCATACGCTGGCTGGCCCCGGATCATCACCTGCAGAAAGCGCTTGGCTTGGGCGAGGTCTGACGTAACGAGTAGGAAGTCATCGATCAAGCGAAGAAGCAGAGTATCGCCGGATTGAAGGAATCCCAGCACCTCCCGTTCCATCTCCGCGTAGAAAAGATTACACAGCAGACTGGAGAGGACCGAGCCCTGGGGTATACCGTTGCGCTGGCGGAAAAAGCGCTCTCCGAACTTGACCATGTTGTTCCGCACATGCTCTTCAAGAAGATCAAGTAGATCATCTGAATGCTTCTCCCATTGCCAGAATGTATCCACAAAGACAGTATTTCTTCGTTGGCTGGTGCCTCCTCTGCTGGCCAACTCTTCCAAATGCTGGGGACTCTTTGTTGGGGCAGCTCTACCCACCCATCTCTTCCAAGCCCGGCTTTGCCGCTGCTCATGAAGCGGCCACATATTGTTGAACTCGTCTGCCGGCTTCATCTCCACATATTTCGTAAGATGATATGCTTCTGCAGAAACCACCTTGTCAACGAGACGAACCATACTTTGTTGTGGAATAGTGTCAAAGCAAGACTGAATGTCGACTTTGACGAAGTACAGCCGAGGTAAAGACGATGGACCGACAGCCGCCGGCTGTCGCGCGAGTAAGTCCCTCTTGAACCTCTTCAGCCGAGAATGCAACTCTCCAACCGAGTTTAGGCACGAACCTAACTGGGCTAGATTGTGCATCTTCTCGTAGTTCAGCACACTGAGAATGGGGCCGACCGTGGAATTTACAGTGCGTTTCGAGGATGGCATCCGTCGTTTAAGATTCACAATGGGACGGATACCAGTGGCTTTTGGTAAAAGGCGTAAGGTCCCATACCCCAGCGTCCTCTGTCCCAGCACCCGTTGGGCTTCTTCCGGCCTCAATTCTTCGAACATAGAAGCCTGCAGTTCAGCTATCGGCTGCTCGGTCAGATTGCGCCAGACATCGTGCCGGAAATAGAACAACCTATTTCGATGGCACTGGGATTCGGTGACATAAAAGGCTGCACGAATTAGGGGGATGAGAATGGACTCGAATAAGTAGTATATAAACTCATGAAAGAGTTCCGTGCGCTTCTGCAGGTCGGAGAGCGAAAGCTTATGATGTGATGGATCGACAAGTTGATTGCGGCCAGCAGCGGGACCGAGCCAGGATATGCAAGATATCTGCAAGCAATAATCGGCCCGTTAGCATGCATGACACAATGTCGATCTTGAGTTTGTGCAAACAAACCTTGACGCCCTTGCACACTTCCTGGAGGGACAGATTTTCGTATCGTCGCATACGGACAAACCTGTCAACATTCTTGAAAATCACACTCTGGTTGTGAACCCTGTTCTGCCCGGTACCAAAGAATCGTGGTGGAATTAATTTACTGATAACGGCTTGACAGTAGGCCGAGATGGAAGAGGTCGGGGTCGCATAGTCCGCCAAACTGGGCTTCAATACAATTGCTGGTTTGGTCGCCGGCTCCCCCGCATCAAACGTGGGTATTTCGATATGATCGGGCTCTTTCTGACCTTCCGAGGTAGAGACACCCCCACTCAACGCATGTATTTCGAGTCCTCGTTCCTGGGTTGTCAGCTTCTCGGACGCCGGTGGGTTCGATTTAGCGCTTGATTGGGAGTCCTGTGTGCCGAATTTCCAGGGACCAATACGCTAGATTCTTAGCTGATTGTATCAATTGCAGGGTCGCTAGTTACACTTACCTCTGAAGAACAATAGTAGTCTAACAAGTATCCATACGGGCAGCGCTTATGACGATTGAGTAATTGTTGGACCAGCTCAAACGCCTGTCCTTGAAGGCGCTTTGGGATTTTCGCCGGCTGGACTCGTTCGTTGTTCGCGATCTGATGCTCGGAGTCTGGGGAAGGTCGTTTCCGCTTCCCTGATTTGGCTGCGATCTCATCTTCACGTGAAGAAAACTTTGAGTCGTTCTCCGGGTCAGGTTTAAAAACGTTTTTCAGTGCGAACTGCAAGGGGAAAATGTGTTGCATGACGTGGACGGCCTTGGACTGCGAGATGGACGAGGAGAATCGATTGAGAACATCTACACCAGTTATCGTATAATGATAGCGAGAAAGGGCTCTGGGGTTCACTTACGGTTCCCTAGGCCCAATTTTGGTTTTCCTCTGATGACAGGCATGAGTGGAGCGTAAAGCATGCGGTGACGGTTGAAAGCAATGGTACTCGGCGTCCGCCGATTTGACTGGCTTTCAGAACAGCAATCTGCCGTCATCTGCTGGCCATCCTTAACCACCGCGGACCCTTTGCCAGCGGGGGGACGATTTGACTCTAAAGATGTTTGCTGTAGCTTCGTGTTGACGGGATCAAGTTTCTCGAGAGAATATCCTAGCCAGCTACTCAGTCATGTATCACCCCAATGTGAGCCAATGAGGAACACATACCGCAGATCTGGTGGTATATGCCTTTGCGTGAGTCCAAGGCTGTGAAAATTCCACAATCGCACAAGAGATGCAGCATAATGATTTCCCCATTGTTGCCCAGTAAGCCCAGAACCTCCGTCCAAGGCGCACTTTTGAGCTTCTGAACATTCTCATTCGAGAAGTGCGTCTCAACAACACTTCGAAAACCCCGAGTCAGAAGATGATGCGGCTTTTTCTTGGACTCGGAGAGATATGGTTTCCAGATCAAAGCTATAGCACGGTCCACAAGCTACAGGATAAGTCAGCTTTTCTGCGGGCATATCCGTTTAATGCCCAGTAAACGTCATTCGCATGGGAGTGAAATGTTTGAAGCTAGGATGAAAGGAGATACAGCGCTGATGGGATGAAGGACGATAAATCCGGGTGAGAGGCATACCTCAGCTTGTGCACATGGCGGCCCAGTGTCTGTGCTCGCCAATTGAGACTTGGGTTGGGATTTGCGCAACGCAGCCAGCTCTTGGCTTCGCTCCTGATCACGAGCAGGGGATGAGCCTTGCGTGATTCCCACCAAAGTGGAATCGAGGAGAATAGCTAGTTCTTGCTGTGAATCCGAGCACGAGTCATTGGCGCCTTCTGCGGGATCCGTTCGGATCGATGCGATTTTTCGACGGCGGGATCGCGAGGCTGATGGTATTTGGCGCAAGAGGAACTGCCTCAAAGTTACCACTTCCTGGTAGTATAGCGATATTACTGGGTGCGTGAGTTTGGTCGCATGGTCAGAAGAACAGCCACTTGGATTCCTGAAACCGGTGGAGGCCGCAGTGATGCGAGTCTGCGACGAATGGCCTTGCGCATGCTTGCCCTTCACGGGCCTCTTCCTCTTTTGCCCCATATGAAAGGAGACGAGATCCAATTGTTCCTCAGCTTCACTCGGACGACAGGCAGATCACCCGGCGCCTTTGCCGGGGGACGAACTATGAGGGAAGTACCTTACTAGGTGGCCCAGTCAACCAATGTAAGTAAATACTTCTTGGCAAACGAGAGGAAGCGCGCGGTTGAATGACGCGCCAGGACGCGCTACACCTGGATCGCGTGGGAATTAAGCCAATCAGGAAAGATATAGGCACAGGCTGTCTGTCCCAGTCTGAGAACAGCTTTTGCGACCAAGCGCAGCATCACCACATTTCGTGCTAACTTCTTTTCGTATACAGGAATAGACTGGCAGACAGTCAGGTACGGAGTAGTCTACAGTACTACTCCATCGTTACTAGTTGATGGCCAGCCACACAGCCTTGCGGTCCCTTTTTTCCTCCCCAGTTTGGCGATCAATGGGAGCTAATCCGTTTTGGGCGATTGAACAGAGATGAGGGGAGCTGGTGTTTTACAGTGAGACAAAAGAACCCCATCCTCCACTCTTCAACGCAAGCTAGTCCCCCAATGGAACATGTCTTCGGTGGTCAATTATTGAAGCCTTGAAGGGCAGCCGAGCTGGGGATGAAAGTGCCCGTACCTAGCAGAAAGGAGAAGGAAGAGAAGGGGGAGTCTTCCACCTATTGTTCGAAGCGAGCTCCCCGTCTGGAACGCGGTGCGATCCTGCAGCCTGCGAACTCTATTAGATTTAGGGTGCTGAGGCGATCACCTATTGTCTACATGAACCTTGTTCGGTCTGCGATATGTCTATTTTCTGCTCCGTACATACCGTAATAAAATTCTAGCCCAGTGGGTGCCAGGGGCGCAGATCCTTGAAGAAAAAGACAATGATGAAGAATCCATGTATGGCTCGAAACTGCCGACCCGTCACCTTTAGGGGGTGATGTGAAAGAGGCACCGAGGATAATCCTCGGTACACACGACACCGTGTGTCTTGTTGAACAGCTCTTCCGAAAGTGAAGTACGATCCAGTCATGATGTATGGAATTGGTAATATTGAGTAGAAGGCTTGCTTCAGGTGCCTCGCTAACTAACGGTACCTGTAACCATGAAAACCTTTTCAAGCGACTGCCGATCTCTGCCCCTACAGGCCCAACCGCGAGTGGTTGCACACGAGAGCATATTCGTCGTCGTCGTCAATGACTCTTATGGTGAAAGACAGCAGTCAGCAGCACATACTACTATTATCTGTTTAGCAATGTTAGAATATCGACGTATCTCAATTGAAAGCTGTCTCTCGTAGCCAGCATTTGCAGGTGTCTGTCAAAAGGGTTGCGGATGCAAGAGGGCGACATCCGGCGGGCCGGCGGGTGGCTAGTGATAACTTAACAATCATTATTGATTGAACTCCTTTTATACATGTACATACGTACTCTGTTTTGAGGTTGACGACGTTCGATGCAGACCATCCTTCAAGCTTAGCGGAAGTAGCACCTGTCTGCTGCATATTGATGTTGATCTGTCTACCTTTTTTCCTCAAGGGATTTACTACGTTCGGATGTTCGGTCAATTGAGGACAGAACCACGGGGGTTCATTCGGTCTTCATCTTATTTTACCACCGCTTTTGTTTCACTGAGCAGAAGCCACGAGTGACAGGATTAAAAGCATGGGGAATTGGACCCTCCCTTAAATGGACCAGGAGATCGAGGCTCCGGCTGGTCACGAATAGTCTAGGCGCCACGACCACCCAATAAGAATAGTATCACAATGAGGTTGTTGTCCGGCAATAATGACCCCAAGTATCGCCCGTAGTAATCATAGCAGCCATGGTGCTCGCACGGACAAGGATGGTCGGCTGTGCCAGATCCTTGGAACGACGGTGGTCTAGAAAGGTCGCCGCACTAGGCTTTAGCAGCGGCCCACGTAGCAAGGAAAAACAGATTGCCGCATTGCGTCCCCACAACGTCAGCCTCGCGCTTCAATATGCTCCCCTGAGCAGGTGTTTGGTGTTAATCGAACGAGATTTGCAGGATGCTTGGGGTTTTTCTGGTGTATCTTCCCTTTAATTGAGTTCCTTGCCCGGGAGGGAAACGAATGATCACGGTTCTGAGATCTGCCCTGGGAAAGCAAATATATCCGTAGGACATTCTCTCCACTGCAAGAAAGAGAGACCAACGGACCACCGTCAAAGAGAAGCGGTGTGCCTCCGGGGGCATCCTGGGCCGTAAGAGACAGGGATCTCATCATTGTTCTGTCTCTACTCCGTATATCCTCGACGAGCCGAATAGAGGCTGACCAGCCAGTAAGATATTAATACCGTCACCCGGCATCATGTTACCCACCCCGAATCATAAATCGTCTATAGGCCAGACATGCTCAAGTGGACCCAGTCAGGTACAATACGTCAAGCCTGTTCTCTGAACAATCAAGGCTGATGAAATTGTCCGAAGAGGACGCGGATTTGGTGCAGATGCACACTGCAGATGAAAGTCATCGTTCTTCCATAGGTGAGCACCTTAGAAGAGCCTTCTTTGTATTCCAGTCACAAGCTGTTCGATATGTGATACGGCGGTTCTTTGGCGCGGGATGAGTACATGTATAGGATAAGTAGAACACGAACGATCTGGTATGCCTCATGGTGTGCAGACCAGCTCGAATTATAGAATCTAGAGTAGTGGTGTGTGGAGTACAGTAAATACCTGGATATGGGCAGTCCTCAATTGGCACTACGATCGTTCTCCATAGCTGATCTTAGACAAAATTCGTCTACGCAGGATACTAGCCTGGAGTAGACTGGGGTAGTACGGGGTGAAATTGCTGGTGCCCCGTGGGCCACCTTTTACTTGTCTCGTCCAGACATTTGCTGTGCGACCGTGATAATAACCTACTGGGGCAGTTCTGATTGCGTTCAAGGCCACTGCCGAAATGGACCCATCCCTCTCGCCATCTTACTGTCATTTTCAGACAGGCAAAAGCAGCAGCATGAAGCGGTACCGTGTTGGGACGGATGCGAAATCGACTACAGCTTACGAAGCTCGGGAATAGGAGTCGATCGTCGATGGTGTGGTGGTCTTCAGTCATCTGCATCGACTGAAAAGAGAGGGCCATAAGAGCCAAGCTCCGGAATCTGGAACCTTGATCTTACTGTGAAATATACTATGCAGGGTCATAACGCACATGAAAAGAAATCGATAACTTGTATTGCTTGTCAGCGTGGGAGTGGAGATTCTGAGAACCATATTGTACTATTCATTTTTTCGAATCCTGCAGAGATGCAAGAAATAGCATATTATGCTAGCTATGATATATTGCCGCATCAACTCAACACAATAGCTTAGGACCCTTATCTTCTTCAATGTACGCTAGGTTGGAGTAAGCTCTTTGAACGTACCCGGGAAGATATATATGCACTAAAATGGATGTATTGACGAGATGCTTTTCGCACATACGTACTCCGTATCTTCAAGTACTATGTATGCCAATCCTGAGGAATGTTGGTCGAGGCAGATCGATACTAAGGTAGTAGTTCATCCAGCCCTTTGAAGAATAGGCGCACGGCGAACAAAGCTCAGCGGGGAAAGTGTTCCATGGAACGCCCGAAGGGACGACGAGTCCCGATCCGACTAACACCACTAACGGCTGTGTCTCCAATGGAAGGGAATAGAGTTCATGTGCCGACTTCTTTATGGCTTCCATGCTCACTTCCAGCCATAGCAGCAGATCAATCGAATTCTCTCGCCTACCAAACCAACTGCGGAATATTCTCCAGCACTATCCCCTCATCTGCCGGTGGTCAGGCAGATACCAGCCTACCTATCAAATCGAAGCGCGCACGGAGATTCCGCCACTGGACCCGTGGAGATGTTCGCAATTCGACTCATCGAAACTGCTTCTCTAAGTCGGCCACACGTTGCCCCTCTAATCTGAGGATGAACTCTGCAGGGCGAGACACCCAGAGAGGATGTGTATTATGACTGTAGTTACAGATTCGTGAAGGCTGAGCTGAAGGCTGAGCAGATGGGCGAGGCAGGGATTAATACATACCTTACTAGTAATGATTAAACTTAGTACGGAGTAGATAGATAGTTAGCCTCTTAGATAGCCTCACGATTCTTGCTCTCTCATCCAGTCCTTCCATGGCCTTGTCTGTGGATTTCTTTTCGTCTTCAAACTCTGGTGGTTTGAAATGTCAAGCGAAAATCTCTTTTTTAGGAGCCTCGGGTTAACATTGTTTCTATCATACAGTTTCTATATTGGTTTTTCTTCGACTAGTTCTAGAAATGGGGGGGTGTGGGAAGCGGGAGGGGTTCTTTTTTTTTTTTTTTTTTTTTAACCCCCTCTGCACACCCGTCACCTTTTCGTCTCAGAGTTCTGGTCAATTCCCTGGGTGGATTCCCCTCGCTTTTTACTCCTGATTATCCACCTTCTCCGCACCCACTCTCAAACCCAAGGTCGATTCTTGCCGTCACTAGCAAGTTCAGGTTAGTGAGTTGCTCACCAGTACCAAATAATACCGACGCATCCAGTAATCTGTAATTCTTCTTGTTCCCTGACCCTACCAAAATCAAAGAAGAAATTCTGGAAATAGAAATAAAAGGAAAAAAGAAAAAAAAAGGAAAAAGAAAAAGAAAAACAAATACTAGAGGGAGCACACGCGCGCACACACACACACACACACACACACACACACACACACTCACACATACACACCATACCCTTCATCAAACGGGGCATCTGAAAGTAGTCGGCCCACCTGCAGCCCTTCCCAATCGATAGAAAGCAACCCGACACTGGACTGGACACACTGGGTCTGGGCTTTTCCTATCGATTACTTGATGGGTACCGTTTGGTTGCTGTTCGTCATCCATCCATGAATGAATGAATCAATGAATGGTTTGCTTCTTCTCTTTTTTATTTGACTACGGTCTTACCCTGCCCTGCCACTTTGACCTCAACAAACCCCTCCCCTCTCGGCCCGCTTGTTACGTCTTCCCACACCCTCTTCCTTCTCTGGCTTCCATCGTCACCCATCACCCATCTCCCCTAACCAACCCACCTCGACATCCCCTCCCCCCTCACCCCTGCTCGACGCCGTGCAAACGTTTGTCCCGCCCGTCGTCTGACCCAACAGGAATTGTTGCTGCTGTTAGTTTTCTCTCTGTCGCCCTTTATCCACCTGGGGGTCATTGCTGACAGACTGCTGTCTCGCAGTCTGTTGTTCCTTCAGTCCCGTCCGTCGACTTGATCCGCTTCTATTTTGAGTCCAGCACCAGCAGCTTGACAAATCTTCCGGTCTTCGGGGGTACGGCTTTCGAATCGTCCCTCTCTGGCTTTGGTGGTCTCAACTCGTCTCAAATATGACGCCGTGCTCGGGTGGTACTACCCGGTGATGATTGCCTTATAGTTCTGGCCCGGTTAACCTGCAACCTCATCGGTGGCCTACCAGCGGCGAACAACGCATCAAGAGATTAGTACCTTTGACCTGGAAAACACCCACCCCTTCCCAACCAGCTATTCTATTGGGTACTTGCTCCTTTCTTTTCGCATTGATTTTCTTTTTCTTCATCCAGCCTCCTCCCTTGCCCACCTCTCTTTGGGAAAAGGGCAAAGTCGAAGGAGGACAATCCCGCTGACTCTCTGCCTAAAGGATGCAAGATGTCCGGGAGTGATGTTGAGCACGCTTCCCGGCTCTTGGACGTCAGCCCGCGGCTATCTTCCTCGAACACCCACGATATTCACAATTCCTATTACGGTTCCCTGTCAAACGACCCTTACCACGTCTCCCTAGCTGCGCCCTCCTTCTCTCCTTCTCTGTCGGGTAAAACGTATCCCACTGAACCGAGTTTCACAAGCCTGCAACCTTACTCCCTACCTGCAACCCTTCTCTCCGACGATCATAAGGACAATTCTGGCCGATCTTCGCCTGACCCTGACGACTTTTATCGAGCGCAACTGCCCACAGGCAATGGTACTGTGAATGGTGGTGCTGTGGTGGAAAACCAGAGTGACGTAACCGCAGAGCAGTGTCCTCATCTATTCCAGCGTGTTTCCTCCGTACCGATAAATTCGACCGAGTCCCCCAGCGGGAGTGCGGTTCAGGGTCGTTCAGTATCCGACTCGTCGTATAAGGGCATTGGTGGTAACTCCGCTTGGGGCTCTTCCGCGCGGGCCTCGACGGCCAGGGCCAGGCAGACATCATTCAAAGACCTGATCAACAAGTTTAATAACAATAGCGACCAGGTTCTCCCCGTTCCTTCGTCACTCACAGCTGGATCTCGGGCGCCGTCGAGGGCTGCTAGTCCTACCAGCCCAATAGGAGGATCGTATCGGTCGGGAGCTCTCCCTCGTTCGCGTGAGGCTCACAACACGGCCAATGCACAAGAGCTTCCCCGCTGGCATTCCCTAGATACCTTTGGCGAGAACACGTCGGATTCAGTTTCTCTACCGCTCCGATCAATTGACCTGGGCGGAAACATCCTGAACAACCGCCATTCAGATACAGATCCCCGACGTGTAATCTTAGGTGAGAAACTCAGCGTCGACACGGGGTTTCTGAGCACTGAGGACACTGCCTCGCGTCGTCGCGGTTCTGAGGGGAATATTCTCGGCTCAAGTCCCGCTTTCTTAGACCACCTAGACCATTCGTCCGGTCCAACACCACTAACACCCACCGCGTGGTACCTTGGACGTACCCCATTCTTGGAAGAAGTGAGCACAGGCAGCAGTCCGAACAATCACAGAAGAACACAAAGCGATTTCGTTGGGACTTGGTCGGTGGAAGCGGCGGTGCAGCCTCCTGATTTCCACATGGCTGTTCCTGCCCCCTTGCAGTCCGGTTCTCAAACATTTCAAGAACACTCAAACGCTAAATCTCGCATTCCGATTTCATCTCACCGCCTTCATTCAACATCGGATTCAGACGAGTCTTCCACCCCCTCGAGGGCCGGTTTTACGGGGTCCGGAAGTCATTCGACGGTTCAAGTTCCCCTGCCACCGAAAGGCACTAGCCGCCTTCCCAAACCGTCGCCTAAAGCACAGCGTGACACGTCACACGATGATCATCATGTCCTGATAACACCACCACGCACTCATGCCCGGTCCCGTCGTCAGGTCCCCGAGAGCAGTGGTCTCTTGGAAGCTTACATAGCCGCACCTCCGCCAGCCAAATCGCCACCCCTCCGGAGCTCCCGACCTCGGCAACCCGTATCACATACAACCCTCCAAACTCCCCGGTCGAAAGTCGTTGAAACCGTGTCGAATTTCCAGAGGCAAATAAACCGTGACCGAGAGTTTAGGAACTCGCGAGCTCGGGATCGCCGATTGCCAGAGTTGGGCAATGTTGACTTTGCGACCCGACGCCAAAGGATCCAACAGGCATTCAATCGCACGGTACAGGAGAATGAGAGAAAGGAGGAGAAAGCGGCCGAGATTCGACGTCGAAACAAGGAATTGGAAGACACGAAAGGCACCGACGCCGTCGAACCTGAAGCATTGCAGGCTGAGCAGCAAGACTTTGATGACTCTGCGCTGATGAAGGATGACCTTCCTGTCGCAGACGGAGCAGCGGGTGTAGGTCACGAGCAGTCAAAATCGGAGCAAGAGCCTGAAGAAACGCGGACGTTACCCCAACTATATGTCGATACAGATGTAGTCTTGCACGGGAAGCAAACTGAAATCTTCGATTCGCATACAACCATGGATTCTCCAACGTTAGGGCACCAGCCTGTCATTGCTGGTGAGCTGGAAAGTGACTGTGACCTTGCACATGGGGATCCCGCGTCTGCTTCAACCTCGGAATCCAATGAGACACATGTCACCGCTTTCGACATAGAACCACAAGTCGACCTGATGCAAAATAAACATGCTTCACATCGAGCATTGTTGAATCAAATCATGCACATACGCGAGTCGAGCTCCAGCAGTTCATCATGTGATGAACAAGATTGTAGCCTCTCCGAGGCTGACGACAAAGAGTCGGTGCCCATCATGCTACGGGATGCGCTGGGCTTCGATGATCATACAGACAGCAGCGAAAATCAGGAGCCATGCGATCTCTATACGCAACATGAAACAACAGACAACGAGATGTCCCACCGATGGAGTATTAGTTCTTGGTCATCATCCCTCCACAACCAGCATTCTACAGACGAACAGTGCGAGCGCAGTGTTGATGACATCCCGCCACCTCGCCATTCCGCTGATGAGAGTGAATTTAAAACCCAATCATGTTCTGCGTCGTCGTGTACGCGATCTGAGGCTGGTTATCCGCTTGCGAACCCATTGACACAGACATCATCACACGAATTAAAGACAGAGGCTGTGCCACAAGCCAATCTTTATACACTGACTAGTGCCCCTAGCTTAGCCAGGCTCGGGGGCTGGGACTCCAAGCGAGTCAGTCAGCTCTACATCCAAGAGATCGCTAACGGACGAGGGCTTGGTCTTCCCTTGCCGGCTATACGTGCTTCTCCGGAGCCCCAACAGCTAGACGTTCATACGAAGGGAGATGACGGGCCTGAGGACACGAGTTCGGTCCCTCGTAGCACAGATATGCCTGCCTCTGAGCGGACCAGATACGCAGCCAGCCTCGTCATCCGCGATGACTGGGAGCATGCATCTCCTTCGATCATGGATTGGATGCAGGTTGCTGCCGCGGACGGTTCAACCCCGCAAGGCGAACGAAGCGGTTCGGCGTCTAGACTAGACAATGCTCCCACGCCGCGGCTGGACACGTCAAGCGCCCGGGACCTATCTCAGGAAGCGACAGAGGAACGCCTAGGACTGGCAATCAATGTCCAGGTCCCTCAGGACTCGAATTTCCATGAATATAGCTCGACCCTTGATCATCGGCAAGCGGCAACCGACATCGCGCAGCCACCCACTCGATATGATTCAACCGCCACTATCGCAAATCAGCGTTTCAGCACCTATATCAATGGGATATTCTCTCCCTTGGACCCTATTAATAGCACAGGGAGCAGTGAAAATTCATCTCTACAGCGGCTTGAACCGACGCTATCTCCGGAGACGCTGCACTCGTCTGCGACATCACTGGCGCATTCAAGCTCTGAGCATCTCCAGTCGAAACCCCAGTCACCTTCGCCCGAGCAACGGCGGCTGAAGAAGCGACGAAACGTGATCAAGGAGCTCGTTGATACTGAGTACACCTTTGGTCGGGATATGAAAGTTGTTGACGATATATATAAGGGAACCTCGAGTTCATGTTTGGACCTCTCTTCTGAAGATGTCAAAGTTCTCTTCGCAAATTCCGACCAAGTCGTTCAGTTTTCTATGGCTTTTCAAGACGCCCTGAAAGAAGCCGCGAAAAGTGTCTATGTGATGCCCAAGTCGCAGAGATGGAGCAGCAAGCGCAGTGCGCGACATCGCCAAGCTTCAAGGAACGAAGACAAAGCAGACAGCACGGGTCTCTCGGACCATGAAAAGGACCAAATGACCTTCATTGGACAGGCTTTTGTGGCACACATTGGCTACATGGAGAAGGTTTATGCGGATTATCTCAAGAATCACGACGCTGCTAATAGAAAGCTCCAAACTCTGCAGCGGAATCCGAAAGTGGCGATCTGGCTCAAGGAGTGTCGTGATTGGGCTTCCGATCTCACGACTGCATGGGATTTGGACTCCTTACTGGTGAAGCCCGTACAGAGGATTCTGAAATATCCTCTGTTGCTGTCTGAACTTCTCGACTCGACACCCAATGACCACCCTGACCGGACAGCTCTCATTACTGCTTTCGAGCAGGTCACCAATATCTCGGTCAGAATCAATGAAATGAAGAAGCGTGCGGATCTGGTGGGTCAGGTGGTCGGACGTAAACGCAAGGAGTCTGACGTTCGGACCGGCTTGTCCAAAGCTTTTGGCAGACGCACCGAGAAGCTGAAGCAGCAAGTAGGACTTATCGACTTGTTTGAAGACAAAGAATACGACAGCCTATCTCAGAAGTTTGGAGATAACTTTTTCCAGCTGCAGCTCGTCATGCGTGATGCAGAATCATACACAAAAGAGGTCCAGAGTTCAATGGATTGTTTCAACGAATTTGTCGCTGCGATCGAAGGATTTGTCGATGTAGCGCAGTCGAATTATGTCGAGCTGGAAGGCAAATGGCGCGAGCTTAGAGTCTCTGTTCAGGCCATCATGACGGTGGCTTTGCCCGACCATGTAAGTGCATCATCATGTGTAGGAAGTATTGAACCTGCCGATCTCCATTACTAACAGGTGGCCATTCTATGCTTTAGCTTGCAGTGGTCCGAAAGAGCGTCATCGATCCGATGGTCACCCTACTCAAGCTTCACGATGGTCCCCAGAGAGTGATGAAGAAGCGCGACAAGCGACTCATGGACTATGTTCGCTTCAAGAGCATCAAGGATCGAGGGGACAAGCCCGACAAAAAGACCATGGAACAAGGGGAACAATTCATTGCCCTGAATGAAACCCTCAAGGATGAGCTTCCGAAGCTCTATGCTCTCACTGCCAAATTGATGGAGGCCTGTTTGAAGAACTTTGTGCAGATTCAAACCACCTGGTTTCATCAATTGCAAAGAAATCTTGGATCCTTATTCGAGGCATTCCCAGAGGACATTCAAAAGATTGTTGAGAATTGGTCCTCCAAATTCAACTATGCTGAAGGGCAGGTGCTCTCGCTTGGGATCTGCAATGGATCCTTGCTCGCCGATACCATGAATCTTGTCAACTTCAACACGCCTTCAACCGGGGCAACTATCAGCTCGCCTCGACGACCTTCCACGGTGAATAGTGTCAGCACGCGGATGGGCTCGACGGTTGAAGAATCGCCCAAGGCATCTCAGGAATTCAGTATCGGCGGCTATCCTTTCCAGTCGCCCAGCATCGACAGCCAATCTCAAGTGTCTTTAGGGCGACGTAGGGCGGACTCGACATTCTCCGGCCGTGCTCATGAATCTGCCGAAATCCCCAGAGGCCAAGTGCTTCAACAAGTCACCAGCGCATCAACAGGGTCGCTTGCAGCATCCGGCTCTAATACCGAGTCATTCCCGAGCCTGCCCAGATTGAGCCTTGACTCCCCATTCTTAGTCGATGTCATTGGCCCCTCCCAAACGGAGACCAGGACTGATGATGAACAACATGCATCATCTAGTGGTCAGTATTCGAACTTCTTCTCCTCAGCGATGCCGATGTCGGATAATCCACAAGAGAACACACCAATGGATCCCGAGCCTCCGAAAGAGCCAGCAGTCCTTTTTCTCGCAGCCAGTATATACGAATTCAATATTGATCGCGCTCGAAGAGAAGCTGGTTACCCATATCTGACATACGTTGTGGGCGAGATCTTCGATGTCATTGCTGAGAAAGGCGAACTGTGGCTGGCTAAGAACCAAGATGATCCCGAGCGTCAGGTCGGCTGGATCTGGAACAAACACTTTGCAAAGCTAACTAATTAGAGCACTCGTTCTGCGAGTCCATTTCAATTACAAGTCTTACAAGCCTAAGGGATCATGCCTTGGCGCGACGTTTCCCCGGGCGACGACTCATTGAAATCTACAATCTCATGCTGCCGCATGTTATACGCATCTATGATCTTACATGGTGGCACCTTTGACCGTGCGACATTGTTTATACTATTGATTTACTATTACCTGTCTTTATATTCCCTCATTGTTTTCGAGTTCAGCGCGATGGGCGGGGATTCCATGTTGGCGAATATTTTCTGCTTTCTCTGGTCTGGAATTATGCTTGGGCGCTTATTATGACTGGATGAAAAGGTGGTGGGGTGGATGGTTGGTGAACTTCACGCCATGGGCGAGATTTGCAAACGGTCATTCCTGTCAAAGATTGGTGTTTGCTTCTGCTCAAAGAGCTTGCATGCATGCCTCTGAAGATGTATTTGTTTAGATACCCCCTCGATTAAGACGAAGAGATATTGTTTATTGTTGACACGATCTTGAAAGTAAAGTATGTAGTCCTGTGCTATCCCAATCAGGACGGCTTGAACGTATTTATACTACTAATAGCAACAACCTACCTAATACTAAGCCACAGCCAATAACTTATGGGGGATGCTCAGCCACTGAGCAGTGACGTGCATGGCGTAGCCGTGTGGCTGATGAGATTTAGGTATCTCCTTGCTGGAACTTGCCGAGGATAACAAAAGGCCCCTCCCTCCCTTCTCTCTATCGCTATGAAGTCGGGTTGATTCTCTCGTTAATCCTCCCTTCTTGCCTGTGGGACCTTCATTTCCCGCCTTATGGTTCTCAACCTGTAGCTTAATTCGACCTTACCTTCGTCTACCCCCACATTTCGCCTACTGCGCATGAACTAAACTTGAGCCCACTCGCCGAAGTCCGATTAAGCTGTTCAACCTTCGATTCCTTCTGCATCTTCCGCCGCCGCCGCCTTAGCCTGCCGCCTATGAAATCAAATCGAGACCACTAGAGAGAGCGCGATTTTTATAATTAGACTCGCACCGGTTGGACGACTATCAGGATTAACTGCCACAATTCACCGATAACTGCACCTCAAACAACCTACACCTCATTTCGAGACCCACCCGTGCGCATCGCCGTTGACCTGCATCCGCAGCAGAGCCAAAGCATCTCCCCCACACAATTGGACAGCTTATACTCGGGCTTGAGCCACCCTAGCATACGTGCTGCGTGGCTTTATATCTTTTTCTGTCGCAAAATTCAAGCGTGGACGGAGGCTAGGTTTGCGGTGGAGCTTTCTCTACTGCATCCGCAACGACACTGATCGGATTTAGTGACCAAGTCTCAAGATGCGGGACGGTGGCTTGGGAGGCAAATTGGTGAAGAGGATGAAACGATTTGGTGATACTGTGAGTTTCCTGGGCTACGGTCATGCTCCGTGTCAGGCATCTGGCTAATAGAGACGACTCCCCGACTGCAGTTAAACCCTGATGATGCGTACCTAAGCTGTGAGTTCATGCTACGGGCCCTTCTGGTGAATATTCAGTCGTGGCGCCGAAATCCAACTAATTAGGACTTGTTCATGGATAGATCATGATATTCGATGTATGTTGTTCTTGACTCTTGCAAAGTCCGGAGAGATACTGACACGGAATTCAGTAACCAGAGGAGATATGCAATCTTTAAAAGATGACTGGCTCACCGATAATGTTCGTTAATATCGTATTATTGGTCATTCATGCACATTGCTTGTGGCTGGATTCAGAGCTGACATGATATACCTACCTGCCTAGGTAATTTCTTTCTGGGAAGAGTGTGTTGGCCCCGGATCCCCTTCTCTCTTCGAATTCAGGACTGATGTTTTGCGCCAGATATCTCGAGCGCGAATTCCTCTCCCATTCCAAATCCGCCAATATCGTTCTCCTGCGCCCCAGCATGTCCTTTATGATCCTCCAGACCCCAGACCCTCGAACTCTCCGCGAAGCCCTGCCGGACTTTTCCCGTACTACGCACGTTTTCCTGCCGATCAATGACTGCCGCAACGTCACCGAAGCCGAGGGCGGCACACACTGGTCATTGCTGCTTGTATCAATCGTTGACGGCCTCGCTTTCCATTATGATTCCCTGCCGCCGGGAAACTTCTGGGAGGCGCAGGCTGTGACAATGAAGTTGGGGAATCTGCTGAATCGGAATATCCGATATGTCCATTTGGAAGACTCGCCAGTTCAGGAGAATGGAAGTGACTGTGGGGTGTTCGTCTGCTTGAGCATGCGGTATCTTTTGTTGAAGCGATTATTGACGGCGAATACGAACGAGAAAGTCAGTTTAAGTCTAGGCGGAAGGAAAGTGGATGCGAGATCCGGCAGGAAGGAAATCGCGCGAATTATTGAGGGGTTCAGGAAGGAGGGGGAGAGGCGACGATCGTATGTTTCCCCTGATCACGATACCCGACGTGATGCTAATGAATGGCTACTGAATAGGGCGAGTATGAGCCCAATGGGCCATAGGTCGACAAGTCCGCCCAGGATCGAGTGATGGGTGATGTTTCTGTATCAATTGAAGGGACAGCTTTACGCTTTTGGGTGGACTTCATATTAATAACGAAAGGGCTCAGGAAGATAGGGAGAGGGGCGGCAAACGTGTTGACACCCCGTCCCTATTCTCTATTTCGACTTAACTCTATTGGTAGTTCATCATTACGCACCGCTATTCTCTGGGAGTGGAGGGTCTACAATTCTACACTACCATGCGCTTAGATGGGATGGATACAAGACGTTGAGCATAGCTGGCTGGCTGGCTGGATGAGCGTTCTTAACATGATTATCTTTGGCTTTTCATTCTGTGTTTGTTCAGTAATGACATGATACCTCTGTTCTCTCGAGCCAGACTAATAAGCTATCTGACATGCATACTAAATGAGATATCACGGTTGACTTGGCCTTGTCTGTGCTTCGTGTCTTAGTGGTATAGAACCAGCTTCTGCTTCTACTGCTTCTACTGTTCCTACGGCCTCTTGCGCTTCTTCTTGCAGACGGCAACTGCCCTCGCCCTCTGCTCCTTCCTCGAACAACACTTTCCCACCCAGCCAGCACCTTCCTCCATACTCTCTTGACATGATACCGCAGAAGAACAACAACTATGAATCCTCTCATCCTCTTTCTCTTCTTCCCTTCTCTTCTCTCCTCCTCCTCCCAACACTTATGGTGCCTTGATGCTAGTATCGTGATTCCACGCTCTGCGAATATCACGCTCTTATACTTGTTAAATTGGCCTAACAGCTATTTCCCCAATCTCATTACCACCACCCTCCTCTCCCCTTCCCTTACTTCTCTCGGTTCGTTTTACCAGAGTACCAGATGGCACGTCTGTGTGTTCCTGGCCTGCCTTTCCGAAAGGATCCAGTCCCTACCGCGTCACGATTCTCGTCCCTGCCGGCGTTTCGTTCATTCCCTCACCACCAGCGCGTCGTTTTCCGTCGAAATGTCGACCTTCCGATCCCTCGTCCTCCCTCTCCCTCTCGTGTGCCGACTCACTCCCCGAAGTCCGCCGTCCGCTCGTTTAAGGAGATGCGAAGAGGTTCAAATCTCCCTGTGCATTCTCAGGTAAGAACCACGTCCACTCATTCACCCGTTGCGTTGGCACTGCTGCAGTCCGTCGTACTCCGGTGCGGCGGGGCGCTGCAGCAGGGAATCAACTGAAGGAGACTCTCTCTCGTCTCAAAGAGAGGAGGGTAGCTCGGCAGGCTAGGTCGAAACCGTAGGCACAAGCCCGATCGACTACGAAGCCGCCGCTCCCTCGACGACCCGAACCAACACCAACTCCAGCTACATACGTGAGGATGACTGCTCGCGATATGGTCGCGCGGATCGACGAAGTCCTTGCAAAATACGCAGCAACGCGGGATCGGGTAAATCGTGTGCCTGTCTCGTGCTTGTCTGCGGTTCGTAAGGACGAGCCGAAGAAGCGCGTTCGTTTCTGTGAGACTACAGAAGTCCAATCTGTTCCCCGCTGGATCGAACGGAAGGAGCATGTGTTTCCTGCCTTCCTCTCGTGCCTCGGTCACTTGCAGGGATGGAAGGTCACGGCCCTCCGTGAGCCTGATGAGGATGGCGAGATGGAGAAGCACACGACATATTTGGGGTTCCGACTCCCATGTCTGTCTTCGCTATCACGATGCCAACTCTCCCTGTAACCGTTACCTGTGCGCATGGAACAGCTTGGCCCGTGTCCAGGCAAGGCGTCCTGCGTGGCAAGCCCCAACAGTCTTCAGTGGATGGCTCAAGATGCGAGAGATGCTCCGGGAGCGTGGAGAGTTCAGACTGTAGGTCTCACCTTCCTGTGTCCCTGCCGTTCTTTTTGCTTTTCTCACCACACTCGTTTGTACTGCTCCACTCCTTCCGTTTTCCATTCGTTTGTCTCTCACATTTGTCTGTATTATGGCATCTTCTGATGTCGTTCACTCTTTTGACAATCCATTGAACCTGGTATGGTGTGTCAACCAGCCAGGTACTGCTGACCGGCCCACAGATGAGCTAGCCCTGCCTGCAGAGGTTGTCCGTCGTGGGCGTAATGACGCAGCCACCGTCTGGGGTATTAAGTCGTATGCCCTCGCTACAAGAGCTAGTTCGACCCTCCGAATATGAGGATCGACTGACTCACCAGTGCCGGCGACGCCGAACGCTTCACCAGTAACTTGGTGGCTCCGTCTTTGGGATCCCAAAGTAGGTATCCAATTGGTCCTTTCTGTAACATAGTATGACTGACAGTCTTTCCATAACGGCTGTATCCGATTTGACGACGAGCGTTCGCCCTCGATGGGCTGAAAATTGATGGAAACAAGCAGGTAAGGTTCGATTGAATCAGTCTACTATATAGAGTACTAACGGAATGCTTGGCAGATTGATGTTGACACGCCAAGGTCTGTGCACGAGGCACGTGGGATGGGAGGGTTTCTTTTATCACTTTTCCTGAGTGGAAAAATAACGGCCCTCGGGGGATTGACTTTCCTTTGTTTTTCTTATGTCGGGCCTGGGAATTCTTGCGTGCTTCTAAACGATGACTCGCTGTATCGTCTCGTCCAGGCGTGGATTGAGCTAAATGTACCATGGGACGGTGACCTGTCAATATCACTTTTGTCCCGAACTCTTTAGGTTGTGAGATGCGTAGACTACTTTGTATTGTAATGGCTAACAAGCTCATGGCGGCTGATGTATACGGGAGCTATGGGCAAGACGAATAATGGTACGTAGCATAAGAGAATGAAACCACTGAGTAGTCTTGGAGACAAATGATATTCTACGGTGGAGTAGGATGGAAGTTACCGGCGGTGCTTCCAAGTTTTCCGGAAAAATAAACAATCTGGCAAGAAATAGGATATCTGTAGTACATCAGCACGGGGCATCCTCCGAATCGACACGGGAAACAATATAGATGGCTGAACGGGATGGCATAAGAAGTGACATCAATAGCACGTTTCGAATAAATAAGGTTACTATGATCGTCGTCATCGGGGGATTTCCCTTTGCTCTCCAACTCCCTTGGTTGGTGGAAGTGACAAGAGGAGAGACGGCCTTTTGTGGGAAGAACAAACCAAGAGAGCCTTACCCTGTATGCTCATGGTATATATGATTCAAGGTCAGAAAGAGAGAGAGGGCTATAACAACATCCGTAGCAAGAGTTGTCTTCCAAACCTCACCTCTTCCCATGCCATGAACGGTTGTGATCATCAGTGATCGCCGTTCACAATGTGATGAAAAAAAAAAAAAAAACGTCGCCTCGTCATTTGGGTGGGAGGGGATGTGCATTCAAAGTACTAAGTGGATGAGAACGGAGGGGCCAAGTGTCTATCTACCAACGGATGGGGTAATGTGGTCAGTCAGGTATGGAAAGGGTAGTTTGACTGCAGTAGTGGTCTCCGCGGGAAGAAATGCGTGCTCCTCCCAGGCCAAAGGTCGGTCCTAGATACAACAGGACTGCTGCACAAACCGGTTTTTGCTTTTCGCAGAATACAGGGGTTTCCAAGGATTTTTGGTCTCTGCTTCTCCCTTATCTTGGAAGGACGATGTACTGTACAAGACTAGATTGTACACATATATAAGTAGCGGGTCAGGTCGTTGGTTCCTTTACTCAATGCGGGTTATAAGGTACTACTACTCGTCTAGTAACATTGTCCATATCACTGAACTACTGTACCCGTACTCGGGACAAGCACGAGGAGCAGAGCAGGACGAGTAACAACGGGCTGGTAGGTTTACGTTGGAGTAACTAACGTAACGATGGCAACTATGCAAATAGTCTCAGCCAACCGTACCCACTTGACCTGGGTGATCGACCGGTAGGGGGGGGGGGGATGATGTAATCGGATCATTTAACTTATCTGTGCACTAGGTTGCTCACAACTTACGAGGATATGGTATGTGTAATACATGCTCTGGGCGAACGGAAGATAGTGGCTGGGGCGGGACGTGGGCTATAAACTCGTACACATACTTTGGATATTGAATACGGTTGATATCATTCCGGTGGGGAAGAACGGCGGCGGCTGTGGCAAAGGGGGGTGGGTGGGCTTGGAAGTCATGACATAATTAATGCTAGGCACACGATACTGATGGGCGTTTGATGAAAGTACCTCGGTTGGTTGGAAAGATGAGCAAGACGAGCAAGATATTTGGTAAGTCACGCAATAAACAGCCGAATTAGATGGACCACAGTGAAACAGTGGCTCTATCAAGAACACTTCAAAGAGGGCTGCAATACCCAAGATTGAGATGGTTTCACCCGTACAAGACAACAAGACACAAGAATACAGACCATGAACGCCGACCCAATGACAAAGCCAGATTATGCGAAATACTCTGGGGAAACAAGAACATTGTATACACAGTAGACATGGAAAAGACAAGCCACCCGAGCAATCCAGCGACGATCGAACGTGCCGGCCGCAATGGAAAGTCTATAGATAGATTGCGATCATCGTTCTGCCGGGAACATACGTGATTAAGACAGGACTAGGATATATGTACCAAAGGGGATATGCGACGCCAATAAAGAGGTATAGTGAACCAGCAGTCGATACACACACTCGCACATGAAGCCAAGCGAAAGTGGGAAAATCGTTCACCTGTCGAAGGAGAACAGTATGGATCGTGGATCCAAGAGCGAAAGGAAGCCCCGCGTGGTCGTGCGTAGACCATCTAGGGTGGAGTGGGGGTTTGGCGAACCTCCGGCTGGTCAGGTCGGTGCTTCTCCCGGGTGCGCATGTACATCCCATCGGACTGAGAGTCCACTGCTGGAGGAGCGTGGATTGAACGAGGGATGCCCGACTGCGACTGCTGCTGCTGCTGCTGTTGCTGCGAGACGATCTCTCGAGCATAAAACTCTACCAGCATTGTGCCATACGCTTCAAGCTCTTCCACGGGGATTGAAAGACGAAAGTCATTCAAGAGAAGGAATTGGAGCTCAAGATGGTTGAGTTCAACCAATGGTAATCCCCCAACCTGTACGCAGCATTGGTGTTAGTTCCGTTGTATAGATGATTTAATTAGGAGCGAAGAAGACGGAGGTGGGTACCTTTGCATATCGTGAATTGGTGTAGAAGACATCAGAGAAGAATTTACTGGCACAAGTCACGCCTGCGATGACTAGCCGATGGATATTGAAACTATCCACGATAAAAAAGTGAGAAAGCGCCTCTTCCTCGTCCTCGGCGTCCGAAGATGGAGACATGGACGACGGAGTGGACGGGTCTTGGGCGGCGAAGCTGGCAGAAGATGGTGGAGTGGCCAATGGAGAGGCACCTGTCGTCTGTACATTCGACGATCGGAGCGACTGGGGCTGATTACCATCAGTCCTTAGCATGGAAGCCGATCGGGCCTGGCGACGCCGTAATCGCTCAAGTTGCGACCGGTTGACAAGCTCCGTCATGCGATCGAAATATACCAGAAGACTGAGGAAGACTTCATAAGTGGTGGGACAATACTTGTGGATTCTCGTCAAATAGCTGAGAATGCTGATACTGGGTACATTTTTGCCATGAAAGGCAAGAACACTGGCGGCCTGTGGAGTGAGGTTCGAAGTCCCGTCTGGGGGTGGTATGTGGCGATGGATATGCTCGTGGTGCATGTCGTTGGTCGTGGTTATCTTCGTCAAGAGCCCAGCTACCATCTCGATGATGTCCGTGACCGGCATGGAACTGATTTCGTACTGGCGCTCTTGAGGACCCCATTGTCCCGTCATCCGATCTCTATGTGCCAACATTTCCTCGCTCGCAAAGCTTTGTATATGGGACAGATCGCGGACCTTGATGCGACTGGGCGAGCTTGCCTCCGAGCCGCCTAATGAGCGCAGGGACTGATGAGTCGGCCTCAACTGCGGTGACGCGGGAGATGAATGACTTCTGTTGTGCTGCGTGGATGCCGCGGTCGCGTGTGCATGGCTGGCGCTGACATGAGGGGCATACGTGTGAGGCGCGGCGTGGGCGTGATTATCGAAGCGAGATGGATGGCTATCGCTAGTGGTTGTGGTCATTGATGCTGAGTTCGGGTGGGCGTTTGTTATACCCGAGATGGTTGAGGACGCCCGCGATGAGGGGTAAGAATTCGAGTCGGAAGGGTGATAGATATAAGGCGGAACATCCTGGGTGGTGTGGTGGGAGGGGAGGCGAGCTGAGGCGGATGTTGACGGCGGGGCTGTGGACGAGGTGGGGGTGGTATTAGACGATGCCGACCTAGAGCCGCCGCCGGTCTCCAGACGTGACGAGGGTTGTTGGAACGAGGCTTGGGTCTGCGACGCGGATCGATAGCCAGATTCCGAAGTAGGTATGGCGCCCCCCAGCATGTTGTAGGAGGATGTATCAAGATGATCCGATCGCGGATGATTTACGATAACGGATCCCATGTCAGGTTTAAACAGAAGTAAGTGAAGGTAATATACGGAAGGGCGGACAGTGGTCGGGGTTGAAATATTGCAACTAGAGCCCAGGCCGGCGAGCAACGGTTAGCGACTGGAGACGACGGTGGGGTTCATTGAAGACCCAGGAAAGGCCAGGGTAAATAATGAGGAGAAAATCGAAATCAGATTGAGGAAAGTAAGATCAAGATATAAGATGGTAGGAGGAGAGAGGGGGAATCTAGCACGTAAAGAGAGAGGGACAAGTACGAGATCCAGCAATTGATTGATGGGTTGCTTACTTTAGATCGGTTCAATGAGCGAAGGGGGAGGGGAGCGCAGCGAGAGGAGTGGAAGGCGCAGAGAGGGTCTGGATCTGGAGATGCGGCGAGTGAGGGTCAGAGCACTGGGGAATGCGCGATAAACCCAACCCAAGCCTGGAGCGGGTAAGGAATCACAGGCGATGGACGGCGGTGGGAAACATGTCCATTGCGATGGGAGATGAGAAACGGCGAGGACGACGAGATGAGTTAAAAGGGGATGAAGGCTGGATACGAAACACAAAAAGAGAGGAGAAAGGGTGGCGGAGAAAAGTGGATGAATGGATGGATGGATAGATAGAGGAACTATGGCGACTGGCAATTGGAGAAATAGAAGAGATTAAAAGATGGATTTGGGGGGGGAGGAGGGAGAAGAGCTGGAGGAGAGGAGAGGAGAGGGAGAATGGAACGGAGAATGGGATGATAATGATGATGTTGATGATGCAGCCGCAGCCGTAACAGCACCAGTAGCACCAGCTAGAAGGGAGGGAACAAGAAACCCGGGCAGAAAAGCTGGGTCCACCACGACAAGATTCAGAGCCACTCAGGGCCACTCAGAGCCACTCAGCAACACTCACTCTACCACCCAGCAAGACCCAGACCGACCCAAGGGTGGAGTTCTGGAGTTCTCAGTGCTTTATTCAACGGGGGAGAAGAGGTTCCCTTCCCCGAATGCAGTAACCAAAGTAGCAAGTAGATGGATCGATCAAGCCGAAGATCAAGAATCTCCTCCCCAAAATCAAGGCAGCTGAGGTACCATACCATATGAGATGTATGGATGATCACGTACGAAGTGACAGAGAAGAAAGCAAACATCAAATAAAATAAAATCAAGCAAAATCAAGAAGAAGGTAGGAATTGGACAAAGAAATAGGAGGAGAAAAAAGAAACAAGAAACATTGGACAGGGTTGAGACGGAGCGGACTGGATTATTATCATTATCATGAGACTGAAATGATCCATCAATTGGGAGGTCTCTCTCTCTCTCGCTCTCCCTCTCTCTCTTCTTTCTGTCTTTCTCTCCTTTCTTCTCCGATTACCAGTCAAACATCCTACCCAATTCCGAGAAGTTACCAGTCGAGAAAGAAACACGCCTCGCATCGAGATGTTTCCGCATTGGACTACATCCGGGTCAATCAGCCGTTCTTGTCCATGCTCCTTACTCCGTACGACAGGATGAGCCCGCATCAGAACATCTTCACCTACAGTATCAATAGTATCAGGTACTCCGTAGGTACTGTACTGTACGTACAGACGATGCCGCCCAGAAAACCGGACAGGATAGTGGCAGTTAGGATCATCCTCCGTCTGAGGGGGGATGGGCGAATCGCGGCTCTGCAGAGGCGCAGGTGTTCATCATCGCTGACTGATTGGTGCTCGTCCCCAGAAAACCCTCGAGGCCTTTGACCGGTCACATCCTCGACCTCTACTATGATACTGCTACTGGTACTTTAGTGGAGTAATCTCCTGTCTGATATAGCCTTAGCAGTACGAGCTACGAAATAACGAATACCTAGGCCACTGCAGGCTTACCGATTTAGATTTGCCTTCTACTTAGGAAGCCTAAGACGAGGTGATACTGTGAAAGTGACAGCCTCTGACCGCCGGATCCGAGTGACATTTATAGCCAAGTCAGTATCCTCAGTCATGGCAAGCAGCCACCTCCGAGAGGGCCCGTGAGCTCAGATACCAAGCCAAGCCACGCATATGATGGGGAAGCACCGCGCAACTTGCTAGAAGATATGACCGCGATTTATGCATAGTCCCTCTTCCTGACTCTCGGTTGATAAGACCACGCCTGGTTCGGATCGTCCAGAAGAAGGCTGATTTACCGCTTACATTGGCGGCGAAATCATGCCCAGAATGAGGCTATCTTCAGTGCCAGGGAGAAGGAAAGGTCATGTTGATCGACAGCTAACAACGATATGAATCATCACTCCAAACGGATACACTCATTAGTTGGTAACCCCGGGGCCAGTGTAACCCGTGTCCGGCAGGTAGAGATGTCGCTGAGCGCCCTTGGCCGTCAAGACCACCATCCGGATCACACCGCCAGAGCTACCATCCCACTTGATCGCCTCCTGCAGAGCTGACCGAACAAACTGAACGCCTTCTTCCTCAGTCATATTCTCCTTCCAGTTTGCATCGCAGTAGCCGTAGATATAGGTTGAGCCAGATCCGCCGATGGAGTACGATTGCTTGTGGAGGGATCCGCCCAGAGGTATCGAATAAACTTGTCCTCCGTGGCGAGGATCATATCCGGCAATAATGATGCCAGCACTAAAAATCGCCATAGTCAATAAGAAAAGCAATTCTCGTGACTCGGAGGGGCACAATGAACTTGCCTTAGCATATCCTTGTTCTCATAGCATAGCTCTTGGAACAGTGCAGCGGCGACCTGAGTGCTGGGCGCCTCGTTGTTTGTGATCGAGTACATGTTGAGATGGTAGGATACAATATCAGCCACGGCCTGTGTGTCGGCAGCCGACCCCGAGCGGCAGCACCAGATCGTGTCATGCACCTGTGTCAACTTGTCGGTAACCCGGTTGGCGATGTACGCTCCAGTGGTCGTTCGGCTGTCGGCACCCAATATAACACCGTCCTTGAAGTTGATTGCCATACTGATGTCGGTTAACGGGTGCCGTGATGATGTAGGGAAAGTCTCACTCACATCGACGTTCCGAGGCTGGACAGGCATGGTATATCAGTTGACTGCCTCACTCGAGATCTTGAATCCATAAACTTACTTGACTTCACCCTTCTTCAAGTGGTTCATGTCGACATGAATACCATCTATGAGAGCCGTGAGCTTTGGCATGACGTCCAGGAGATGAGGTTACCACTGACCTTCACCGAGCATCCCCGTCATGCCGTGACCGACCATACTGACAGACGAAACTCGGGGCGGGGAGGGGAAATAAGTAAGGGTATGTATATGGGCTGTGTGCCGAAGAACGGTTTCTATGAAGTAAAATTGAAGATATGAAAATTTATGATGATTGCATTCAAGAAGTATCTGGCTGAAGGAGTTGATGGATATGAGCTCTGACGGAGCTCTCAAGGCAGGCGAGCGCGTTACGTTGCCAGCAGCTGGAGCTGGTTCCGCCGGGCGGTGAGACAGCGTATCTTTCCTACTGGACAGCTCCCCATCCCCCGCAGGTCTCCTGAACGTCTCCCCTCCTCCAGCCATCACTTCCGATGAAACAAACCGACGCTTTAATTTCCGCTAGACCAGTATCTGGCCGCTTGCGAAGCTCACTCGCACTATCGTCCTTGCCGTTGATATTCGACTTCTTTGTCTAGACGTTCAAGTTAGCTTCACTTGCTTGATTCAGTTCCAACTTTGCAACGCCGCCCTGTCGCATCGGCTATACTGTTCCGTTCGCTAGCATGTCTGAGTCGCCGCCTCCACCCTCGTGGACTATCGCCAGCATGGCCAATAGTGCCGTCCAGTTTCTGCGCCTGCCGGTTCTGGCCTCCTCTGGTCTCGCCGTGGTGGCCAGTGGTCTGTTGTACTTTAAGCAGAAGTAAGCAGTGACCCGCATTTGCGCCTGGCCATGATAATAGCGGTGCCTGAGATCTAACCCCGTGCGCAGCGAGTTGATCTATCCTCGAAATGTCCCTGTCGACGCCCGGACCAATGTCCCCAAGCCACAGCAATTCGGCATCACAGATTACGAAGAGCTCCATCTTCCGACCCCGGACGGGGAAACACTACATGCCCTCTTCATTCGTCCTACACGAAAACGCCTCGCTCAAGACCTTACAGTAATGATGTTTCATGGGAACGCGGGTAATATCGGCCATCGTATCCCTATCGCCAAAATTCTTCAGGAAATTCTTGGTTGCAATGTGTTGATGTTGGAGTATCGCGGCTACGGCCTTTCGACTGGCACTCCAGATGAGGCAGGCTTGAAGGTCGATGCGCAAACCGGTTTGGATTATCTGCGACAAAGGGCCGAGACCAAGGATAGCCAGATCGTTGTCTATGGACAGAGTCTGGGCGGAGCGGTCGCGATTGACCTTGTGGCCAAGAACCAAGACAAAGGTGCAATCGCTGGTTTGATTCTCGAAAATACCTTCCTGAGCATTCGCAAATTGATTCCCACGTATGTTTGGCTTGATCCACCACACGCCTATCACTTACAAGTCGAGGGCAAATTTCTGACATCTCTTAGGGTCTTTCCCCCGGCGCGATATCTCGCTCGTTTATGCCATCAATACTGGACAAGCGAGGATGTATTGCCTAAAATCACTAAGGTGCCTATTCTCTTCCTCAGCGGGCTGAAGGACGAGATTGTACCGTAAGTGTAAATTGCCTCTTTTCCGCAGATCCCAATGCTAACAAGCTACGCAAATAGACCGTCCAACATGACGCAGCTTTTTGCTGTCTGCAAGTCCAGCCGTAAAGTCTGGCGTACTCTGCCCAACGGTGGACACAATGATAGTGTCGCTGAGCCAGGGTATTTCGAACACATTCATTCCTTCATCATGGAAGAGATTGTACGGCATGATTATTGAACAATTGTTCAACAGTTGCGCATCTCCTCGTTTCATTTATCGGTGTGTTTGTTGTGTCTGTTATGATATCATGTTTGTTCAGCACCAGTCCCGAGCCTACGATTAATTGCTCGAGATGCCTTCGATTTTGCCTTTTCTTGCTCAGGTTCTTGTTTTCTTTGATTTCCCCATTACGTTGTATTAGAGTGGTGTTTCGGATGCTTCTGGCTGGCCGCATTCGTGTTTATTTTCAGGATCTTACGTCTCAACTAAACATGGGTTGAGGATCCGCCTGTGTTTCCAAGAGCAATTTAGCCCAAAACCTAATGAAGACAACTTTTTATCGAGCGGTGTCAGACAGATTCTGTAATCAGTGTTCGCCCCCGATCAATTGTCCCTAGAGAGTCTCCCAGTACCACCTCATGAGGGGTGACCCGCTATGAGTAATCTCGCTGGCAGGATGAGTCGAACGCGCAGCACTAGACCAGCATGAGTCATGCTACAGAAAAAGCCACGCTGGTCTGGATCTGACAGCTTTCCAGGCCCTTGATTATACATGGGCTCGAACCATTAAGAAGAGTGCAAGTTCTCCGTAGTGAAAATTGCGAAGTAATTGGAGTGTGCAGAGCCCCGACAAGAGACCCGACCAGCTCTCGGAGGCAAACCGCCGCCACCCGAACCACATTCACCCGTTCGTACTTCAGGAACATAATCACCGTTTTGAGTTCCACCAGTTTCTGTTGGTTTTTAAAGTGGCGCCCCCCTGCCTATTCTCAGCTTGCCTTTGGGCTCCTTCTCTAGCTATATCGGAATCGATCAGCTCACAGATTTTCATTCCACTCAAGCGGAAGCCCATCCTCGATCTTCTCGCGGCAGTAACCTCCTGCTTTTCGAGCTCCTTATCAGCGACCGATTGATCTACGCTTTCCCTGTTTTGTACTCGGCCCTTGATTGGTGCTATTGGATGGACGTGCTCTCTCCGCGTGCAATTTCCGAACCTAACGTCCCTGTAAGGACCTTGGAGCCAACGATGTCGAACTCTCCAGCCCTCGTGGCAGACAGCAACAACACTACCCCGCGCACGAGGTCAAGACGCGGAGGCAGAGGCCGTGGTGGCGATCGCAGTCGTTCTCACAGACCTGCGCCACAGAACCAGACACAGGCACAAGCGCAGTCTCAACAGCAAACGCCAGCACACCCGGCTACGAATCCTCCATCGCAACAGAATGAACCTTTTGCGACACAGACCGCGCCCGACGCAAACCATCCACCAAGAGGACCGAGGGGAACCCGAAGGGGGGCGGGAGGCGCAGGCGCACAGTCGAATGGAGGCCGACGACATGGTCGAACACGCGGCGGTGCTGACCACTCAGCGGTCACTACGGGGGGGCGAAGATTCGAGGGTCGACTGACGAAATCAGAGCAGCCAGAGGAGACTCGGGATGTCGGTCCCCACCAGAGCGCAGGCGTGGAGGACATTGCTGGATTGAGAGCGGATGCGCCAGCATTCGTCCCAGGAGGGCCAGCCGGAGAACAACCTCGACAAAGCGGACGTGCAAAGGGCAAATCGAAAGCGAAGAACCCAAGCCAGGCTCGATCGGTGCCCCCTCCTCCGCCAGCGCCCAAGGTTACGACGAAATCATCGGCACCGGACATTGCCACTCGGATTCACGAAGACATCGCCCACAACCTCTACGAATGTCCGATCTGTACAGCTGAGTTGGGCAAACGGTCTCGTATCTGGTCCTGCGGATTGTGTTGGACGGTTTTCCACTTGAGCTGTGTGAAGAAATGGTCGAGGAACGAAGGCGCGGCGGCGCAGGATGCGGCGCGTCGCCGGGGCGAGGAGGGCGAAAGCAGTGCTCCTCGTGCTTGGCGCTGCCCGGGCTGTAACCTGCCTCATGAAGTGTTTCCTTCCTCTTACACCTGTTGGTGCCAGAAGGAGGTTGACCCGCGCTCATTTCCTGGTCTCCCTCCCCATTCGTGTGGACAGACCTGTGCGCGATCGCGAAAAGGTTGTCCACACCCTTGCGATGCGACGTGCCATGCTGGTCCATGCGCTCCTTGTACTGCTATGGGTCCGACCCAGGATTGCTTTTGTGGGAGGAACTCATCTACGAAGCGTTGTCAGGACACCGACTACGATAATGGATGGAGCTGCGGCGAGGTATGTGGTGATTTGCTGCCTTGTGGTGAGCACACCTGCCCTCGGCCGTGCCACGAGGGCCTCTGCGGTGCCTGCGAGGTCAAAATCGATGCGCGCTGCTATTGCGGGAAATTGCAGTCTGAGATGCTCTGCAGTTCCAAAGATGAGGAGATGGACAGTGAAACCTTGCGCATTGGCGAAGACGACGGCGGGGAGGAGCTTGAAGAATGGGTTGGATGTTTCAGCTGTGGTGATCAGTGCAATCGACAGTTTGACTGTGGGCTACATTCGTGTCAGAAGTCCTGCCACGCCCAGGATGCGCATCCCGCTCATTGTCCCCGATCGCCTGATGTGGTGCTTTCCTGCCCGTGTGGGAAAACGGTTCTGACCGACGTTACGGGCTATTCGCCCCGAACTACTTGCGAAGACCCCATCCCCAATTGCTCGAAGCCTTGCGGGAAGGCCTTACCATGCGGACACTCTTGCGAGCAAGTCTGCCATAGCGGACCGTGTGGTCCTTGCTTGCAGAAAGTCACGATCCATTGCCGATGTGGCCGCAATGACTTCCGGACGACTTGTTTCTCGGGTGACTTTGAGCCACCTCAATGTTTCCGTATCTGTAAAGCCGGCTTGCATTGCGGTCGCCATGCATGCGCAGAGCGCTGTTGCCCTGGCGAACAGAAGGCAATTGAGCGTCAGGCTATACGGCGAAAGCTCAAATCCCATCTTCGACCAAGCGACGAGGATTTTGAGGCTGAACATATCTGTACCCGGGTCTGTGGCCGTATGCTGAAATGCGGACGGCACACATGCCCGGAGATCTGTCACAAAGGGCCCTGTAACACTTGCAGGGAGGCAATATTCGAAGAGATCCCGTGTAACTGCGGTCGATCTGTCTTGTATCCGCCTCTGCCTTGTGGGACGCTGCCTCCAGCTTGCTCACACCCCTGTGAGCGCGTTAAACCGTGCGGTCACCCGCAGACGCCCCATAATTGCCACACCGACGATGAAAATTGCCCGAAATGCCCGTTCTTGACGGAAAAGGCGTGCCTGTGCGGCAAACGTGTGCTGAAGAATCAGCCGTGCTGGCTTGCAGATGCACGGTGCGGACAGATTTGCGGCAAGCTCCTCAAGTGTGGCTCTCATACTTGTAAGAAGAACTGTCATCGACCGGGTGATTGTGAGGATGCTTCCCAGCCTTGTCAGCAAGCCTGTGGGAAGACCAAGTCCCTGTGTGGTCACCCCTGTACTGACCAGTGTCACGCTCCTTATCCGTGCCCCGAGAAAACACCCTGTTCAACCATGGTCGCAGTAACATGTAGCTGTGGACGACTCCGTCAGGAGCGACGTTGCAATGCAGCCAAGGCTGTTGTGACCAAGGGCCACCTCCAGCAGGCGCAGCGACTTCCATCAGCGTCTCCACTGGCGTGCGACGAGGAATGCGCCCGCCTCGAGCGTAATCGATCTCTGGCGTCTGCGCTTGGCGTCGATATCAACCCGACGACGACTGTCTCTCAGACGCTGACCTCCACCAACCTACCCTATTCCGCCGAAACTCTCGATATTTACCTCCAGCTTTCGTCGTCGTGTCCTCTATCCACTCTCCAGTCCTACGAATCGACCCTCCACAGTCTCGCCACGAACAAAAACCCAGCAAACCGCTCCACCCGCTTCCAACCCGCCAAATCTCCCCTCCGTGCCTTCGCGCACTCCCTCGCCGCCGACTGGGGCTTTGCTAGTGAGAGCTTCGATCCGGAGCCTCATCGCCATGTGTTTGTTCTCAAACCCACTGCCTGGACTCCCCCCCTTCTGGGCATGGGCAACGGCACCACCATTGGTATTGGCGGTATGAGCGTCGGTGAATGCGTGAAGCTACGTGACCGCCACCGCCTCAAGGAACAGGAAGAGCAGCGACTCGCTGCAGCGGAAGCAAAAGCCCAGCGCGAAGCTGCTCGAGCCCAGCAGAATGCGAACGGCGAGGGCGGCTGGGCCCAGGTCGCAGCTTCAAAGAGAGGTAACGGCCTTGGTAGCTCGCGGAGCAGTACGCCTGGTGTCCGAACGCCTGCTGGCAGTTCTTGGTCTACGACTATGTACGCTGCTCTTGCGGGTGACGACAGCAGTGCTTCATGGGATGCTCCCGTTCCACCTCAAGCTAAGAAGGAGAAATTGGTGTTGCGGTCGGGTGTGAAGCAATTGAGGACATCGAGTTCGATTCTTGATCCGAGTCGTGGCGAGTCAGTGCGGGATCCCAAGTCGGATGGAGAAAAGGAAGATGCTTGATTTTATCGACTTGCTCGTGGATGAAGAGCCACTTTGATGTCTTGCAACCGCTTTCAAGGCTCGGATGATGTTATGTAGAAAGACATGACCCTCTTCCGGACTGACTTAAATTTCCTTGTTGTTCTTACCATTCCTACACTTTTTCTACCTACTCCAAAACGTTCACGACTTTGATGTTTGTCGCTGCTATTCGGTTTTCTCTATGGTTAGCGTGCATAGCTGGCCGGTCGTGTGCTTAGTTAGAAAGACCAAAAATCGATAGAATCGAAATTTGGCAAATCTATGTCACTCTGTGTATACTTTTGAATCATAGCCATGTTCTGATAGTTGGTAAATGCAGGCTGTAGCCATGCTGACGTACCTGGCTGTCTGGGCTGTACCTGTACCTAGGTACTGTACCTGCCTGTACTAATTTAAGCATAAGCAGAGTGTTAGTCAGCCTCAGTTAGCTGACAAGCAAATCAAAGCTGCCTACTTGGGGCTAAAGCCGGCTCAACCTTCCCAGCCGGCCACTGTTCGGCACCAACTGCCTCTCCTCTATTTATTCCCTGGAGCGCAATCATCGCCTCAGCTCGTGGTATGTTACTATTCCACTACTAAATGAACTACCAAGTCTCACCAAATCGGTCCCATCCGGACTTGAGGGTCTCAAACAACCTTGAATCTATTTAACCACACATCGTTCCCCTGAACTGCGTTCGCACCGACGCAATCCGTTTCATGTTCTTACTCACTCCATTCCGGTGCGCTCAACCGACCGTATGATACAGTAATTGTTCTCTAGACCGGGAGAACTTCAACTAGCCCCGAGGCATCCAATAGCTTTCTAGGCGTCGAAAGATCACAGCATCAGATCCCACCTCTGACTCCGTATTAAGTTTTGATCGAATTTGAATCGAGCCTAATGCCCTCGCGCCGCAGCCACACCAAATCCCGGAAGGGTTGCATTCAGTGTAAGAAGCGACATGTGAAGGTTTGCCATCTCTATCTCATACTAGCTGTGGCTGCTGTCCTTGCGTGCTGCCATCCCAATTCCACCTTCCTGCCAACCGAACACCCTGGGACCTGCTCAGCGGACGTTCAGTCTTTGCTTCCGACCATAATTCAACAGTTTAGTCGCTGACAGTAGTACACAGTGCGACGAAGAGACGCCTCGATGTGGTTTGTGCAAGAAGCGAAAATTGGATTGCACGTATCCGTCCAATGATGCCGATAGTCAAAATCCCTCCACGCCACATGAATCACCCGAGGCGGCATCTGGCCCAGAAGCAGATTCGTCGCAAACGCGAATGCTCGAAATGCGATTATTCCATCATTACCTTACGGAGACATACATCACTCTCTGCCAAGGCCGCCTCGACGCACATCATTTCCAAGTCGTCATCCCGCGAATCGTGGTGTCCCACCCATTCCTGATGGACAGTCTTTTGGCACTATCGGCTCTGCATCTTGCCTATCTCGAGCAGCATGACAACCGGTCGTGGCTGGAGATCGCGCTGAAATATCAGAGCCGCGCCTGCTCGGCCTTCAGTCGCGTCTTGGCGGACATTTCCCCGGAGACTTGTGGGCCAGCTTTTATCTGCTCCATTTTCATCATGCTGTGTGCAACGGCGTATCCCTGTGTTTCCGAAGACAGACAGACATTCGAGCCGTTGTCTCATGTATTGGAGATTCGCCAGCTCATTGCTGGCTGCGCACTCTTATTTGTGCAACTCAACGGCATGGAATATCGGGGTGACTTGCAAGGTTGGTTGAAATGGAAGGACGATGAAGTAGATCAGGATGGCAACCCTTATCAGTAATTCTTCACCCTTCTCACATGTCTGACCTGACCTGGGGAATTGACTTTTTTATAGAGTGCGGGAATCTCAACTGAATCTTCGGAGGTATGCTTCCCTCGCCTGTCTGACAGCAGTTACCTCGCAGATGCTAATTTGCTCCAAGTGCAATCATGGATTCCTTGAAGGGCGTTCAAGAGAAGTTTAACAGTATCGGTGGACCGAATCAGGCAATATACCTGGCCACTTGGCAGATTCTGCATGAAGCAATCAAGAGATGGCCATTTGGCGGCCCGAATGGGGGTATAATCGCATGGCCCATCAATATTAGCGAGGCTTACATCGATCTGCTCAAGCAGGGTGATTGGGTGGCTCGGATTCTGTTTCTACACTACGGTGTTGGACTGCACTTACTTTCAGACAAATGGTTTGTTCGAGATTGGGGCCGACGCCTCATCGAGACCGTTCTACAACCGGAGGATGAAATTCCCTCGATCTGGGCGAGCACTATATCGTGGACCAGGAGAGCAGTCGAGCTCGAAGAATGATGGGGTTTCATAGGTGTTGGCTTGAACTCAACCAGCCTCATAAGCTCTAGGTTCGCTGAAAAGAGGATGAATCATGGCAGATCGGGTCTTGAACTTGGTGAACCCGGCGGGAAAACAAGAGCAGGGAACCTTGTTATGACGAAAGACGTGTGCGGCATCGGTGTTCTAGTAGCCGGTCTGAGATGGTTGAAAACTGACTTTGCTATATCTGGGTTTCTTCCCTCTGCTTAAAGGTGCATCCGAGACCTTCTCTGAATCCAAAGGTGATTCTCTGGGTACGGGGCGCCCGGGAATTGCCTCATGATTGGGGACAGGCTACTTAGGTCTTCCAAACGCAGCCATTCATTTCTAGCATCAACGAAGGGCGCTTCTCGTCAGGATCATCGTTCAGAGAAACCAACAAGATTCCCGGACTCTCTCTGATCACAAGAAGTATGGTTGTTTTGCGAAGGGTCACGGCTACCATACTTCTTTTCAAACGTGCTCACGAGGACAAGAGGCGCGAGAGGAGGCTTATCGCGGCCTCCCGCTGCCTCCAGATAACTTTTCTAATGACCAGTCATAATCTCTAGCGTGGCCAAAACCCCACTCCAGGTCAGGGTGCATGGTTGACAACAGCAGAAACTCTCCGGCTTTCCGAAACCTGAGCCCTGGTTTGAAGAATGCATCAAGTCGGACCAAATTTTTGCTTCGCCGGATTCAGAGATTTGATTACCCCAAATTATGCACGTCACGTTTCAAGGTGAAATTTGATTGGACAAGGCAGGTATTGCGCCTTTGGATGAGCTTGGTGTGCCATCGGGTGACCAGGCCGAAGTGGCGGTTCGGATTACTGTTGGTCGAGGCTGATAAGGAACCAGGCATGCGGGCCTCTGCAGGAAACTAAACTGTCGTGGTCGCTATCGCCGTTGGAGTCTGTCCGTCCGATAATGGGGGAGGGGGGTGGTCAGGGAGCCCTCGGCCTCTTAAGTAAACCTAACGGGTTCTGAATCTTCTTTACTTTGTATCCTTCACTTGTCTTCACTCGAAATGATATCTTGTCCTGCTTAAGCTAGGCTGACTCTCTCGATTGTCGATCCCCCGCCTCTCTGGCATTTCGGAATTCTAGTAGTAGTTCCCGGCCCATCGTTCTTTCCAGTGACCGCATCCGGCCACCAAGTATACTAAACATGCAGGGTTGCAAACCGGACCTCTTTGACAACCAAGATGCAGAGAAACAGGTACTATGACGAAGTCCTCCCCCTTTCCCAAAAATTGCTTCTGTTCTCAAAATCTCTAACCTGCATTTCGCCCATAGCCACTCCTTGAAGTCTTGGAACGCCCGGTCGCGTGCACTCAGTCGGTGTTATCGCACGATAAGCCCAGGAACAGGTCGAGAATGTTCCGTATCCTGCGATTTACCCTGTCAACCACACTAGTCTTACTTGTCTTGGTCATACACCTGCCGAACGTACTCACGTCGCCCCTCGAATATGCGACTCGTCAGCTGGGCTGGGACGATGAATTGGAGGACGGCAAGCGTGGCGCCGTAGCGAGTGAGAGTGCAATCTGCAGTCGCCACGGAACCGATATTCTACTACAAGGCGGGAACGCTGCTGATGCTGTGAGTGTCTGAAGTCTATTGACTTGGACGATACGGAGATCCCGTATGGCGAGGATCGGCTGAGTGTTGTGCTGACTTGACGGTCGGTAGATGGTGGCAACGATGCTCTGCGTAGGGGTTGTGGGTTAGTGATTCCCCTTCACTGGTGGTAATGGAATCCAGGAACTGATTTGTCTTCTGCCCAGGAATGTATCACAGCGGGATCGGTGGGGGTGGCTTCATTCTAGTGAAAGACCCTCACGGCGCGTTCGAGTTCATCGATTTTCGCGAAACTGCCCCAGCGGCGGCATATGAGGACATGTTTGTCAACAACACAGAAGCAGCTGTCACTGGGGGTCTTGCAAGGTACATCCTGCCAACTTACGAGGACATACCTTGAGATGCTAACAAGATTTCTAGCGGTGTTCCGGGCGAGCTTCGTGGTCTTGAATACCTTCACCAGAAGTATGGCTTACTTCCTTGGTCAACCGTTGTGCAGCCAGCAATCAAGACCGCGGATGAGGGCTTTCCGGTTGGCCCGGATCTAGTACGCTACATGGCTTCCTCGATCACTGACGCGGGCGGCGCCGACTTCTTGTCTCAAGACCCGACATGGGCAATTGACTTTGCTCCCAACGGAACTCGACTCGGCCTCGGCGATACCATGACACGGAAGCGTTATGCCAAGACCCTCGAGACAATTGCTGAGAAGGGCGCTGATGCATTCTACTCTGGATATATTGCAGAGACGATGGTCAATGCGGTACAAGCAGCCAATGGCACGATGACTCTTGATGACCTTCGCAGCTATGCCATTGCAATTCGGAATATCTCCCAGATATACTATCGTGGATACAAAATCACCAGCACCACGGCTCCATCTAGTGGAATTGTTGCGCTGAACGTGCTCAAAGTCTTAGATACCTATGACAGCTTCCTCGCCCCTGACAATGTGAATTTGAGTATTCATCGACTGGATGAAGCCATTCGGTTTGGATACGGACTGGTACGTCTCACCTTCTGGACCAAGTATGTTAGGGTCCGTGTGACTGGGCTGACTCTATAGTAGCGGACAAACCTGGGAGACCCAGATTTTGTGGACGACATGGGAGAATACCAGGGTAACATGCTTGAGCAAGGTACTATCGATGAAATCCGGGCGAAGATCTCCGATTCTAAGACGCAAGATATAAATGCATACGACCCTCGAGGTATTGAGAGCTTGGATACGTACGTACCTCAATGAGACGCCTTCTGAGACAAGCTAATGATGTCTGTAGTCCGGGTACCTCTCATATTGCTACTATCGATCACGAAGGCCTGACTGTATCTGCCATCACAACGATCAACTTGCTTTTCGGGAGCAAGGTCATGGTCCCCGAGACAGGAATTATCATGAACAA